AATAATAATGATAAATAAATAAATAAAAATTTAACAAAATTCCATAAATACCAGCAACTCCCAAGTATGTAACGAAATAATAATTATATGTTATTTTCCGCAAAATGGACACTAAAAATTTCCAAAGCCAAAACACGTCATCCATCGTCGAATAATTGATTCTATTCGTGATAAACGGGCAATTGACCCGGCTTGAGAATCAATTGAGACATTTGCGGGAATCGTATGTTAACGTATGTTTTCAGCTTGAGCTTCGTGCAATCTCTTTGCGTAGAGTGATTGATTGTAATTTAGACCACTTGTGCTAAATGAACTTGAGATAGACTCAAATCGGTACAGATTCATTTTCTGATTCGATCTAAGCTTGTCTCTCCGTCTACCCCGTCTAACGTATATCCATTGCATTCAATCTGTAGGTCGCAAATTTTCGAAAGCCTTACTCAAAATGAATAAAATAGCACAACTTTTCCGACCTCGTCCCATCTAAAGTCATTACACGAATAGTGCTAGGATAGTATAGGTTGTAATTGGTTGTAACCTAACACAACTTGCACTAAAAGACCTTAAGAAAGACCCAAAGAACCGATACAGATTTGAATTGATCTAAGCTTGTCTCTCCGCTCAACCCTATCCCTAGGATAGTATAGGGTATACAATAGGCGGCCGCCTAATAACACCCTATTTTAATAATAATAATAATAACTCGTTATATGAAAAGTGCAGAATAGTACAGTTTTTACAGTTTCACGTTAAAAATCGCTAGAGCAGTTTTTAAAACTCCACGGCATATATAAACGCTCCTGCAAAAGTTGAATCTTTATACGGTAAAAAGACGTGCGTTTCAATACTTTTTGATGAAAATTCTTTTACAATATTACTTTGACCTTGGGTTTATTTTTTGGATCCAAATCCATATGAGGAATTAACCATATAGAATTTGGATCACATAGGTCTATAAATCATCTCGTGGCAACGAGTCCTTCTAATTAGCGATTTGCTACGACGGATACAAAAGGAAAGTTGTACAATCTGGGACAAGTAAATTAACTTAAGTTCGCTAACTTGGGATCATATCGTTAACATTTTGAGTGTTTACCGATGTGAGAGTTTTCATAGAAACTATACATTTACAAAAAAATAATATATAATTTTTGGGTAGTGGTCGGCTTTGTCCGACTATAGCATTTTTACACTTTTTCTTTTTTATATTATTATGCACAAGTTTACGCCGATGTACGTAACAATCGGAAGAACTTATAGTAGATGCAGTCTTCATTACTTCGATCAATTCAAAATCATTTTCTCTATCGATCTAAGGTTTTTTGTCTGCCTGATGTCCGTCTAATGCCTAATGTCTGCATATATATTTTTGTATTCAACATACGATTTAACCTAAGGACATATCGTATTGAAATTAGATTAGATCAGAACATTAAAGTTTTATTTTGGAAAACTCGAAAGTGCAAAAACCGGTTAGTAATAGTATTTCGACATATATAATTTAATGTAAAAAATATACATGGGATTGGAGTAAAGGTTTCTAAAGCTCCGTCAGTACGAAAAGTAAGCGTTTATACGACAACAAGATTTAATTTTTAATAATTTATGATGAAACTTCGTCTCTAATGATAGCTTGATAAAAACATTAAGCCCACGTAGACCTTCTTTTGTTTTTTGACTCCACCATTTCTAATTTTTAATTTTTCTATGACAAATAACAAATAATATCATTAACATGAATTCATGATATTAATTAAGCTAACTTTCAAATCCCACATCTAGTTCAAATTTCGCTCATCCACATAAGGGCTAAAGTTTGTCTGGTGTACCATTAATTGTATATACACGAAAAAAGTCTAGATGACGATACACCCCATCCTCACTGCTTAAGAACTCGTACGAGACTAAATAGAACACTAAACGTTGTGTTGATACATCTCTGTGTAAATGCATATACAACCTTAATCGAATCTCGCATCGATGGCTTTTTTACAAAGACCTGTTAAATCATTGAGTACAAATATGCGTTTATTCTCTAAATCGGCACAATACATGTAAAGCAATTTATTCAAAAAGGGCGACGGGTATAAAAAAAAAGAAAATATCTACAATTTGCAAGCTATTGCACTTATCGAATTGTGTGTGAATGAGTGAAGTGATCAGGGTTAGATCACTTTCATAAAATGATGCTCGCAATTGAAGGCTACCGTGCGAAGTGTACCTTTTCATGGGAATAAGGTATATAAGATGGTGCTTTAAGTGGTTGTCGGCCCTTAGCATTAAATTAAAAAAACAAAATTTAATTATTTTTCTCACTTGTAGGTTGTAGTCGAAATTTTTTTGAATAAATTGAGAAAGTTTTGTTATTAATTAAAGTTCATGAAAAAAGATATCTTTTCATTTCTAAATGTTACTAAGAAAATGTTGAGTCTAACACTAGGCCCGCGTGTATATAGTCCTTTTGTGATCTACTATGCTTGGTCCGGGAAAAATGTTTCGAACCTATAAACACGAATTCGTTTGTACTCATTATTGGACTAAATAGTGCAGATTGCATACGTTTATCACTTTAAAATCGGGACGTGGCCTATTATTAAACATCCCACACCCATTTCGTTTAATGCAATTATTAATATAACAAACTTTTCGAAATAAAACTCAGTATAGGAAATGATCGAAAAATTGGTCCGATCCAAATCATTTTCAGTAGCTTTGGTTCTTGAGCCAAACGATTTCTGTACACCAAATTTCATCAAAATATCTCATAATTTGCCATATGTAGATTGAACACAAGAAAACAAGCCAGACGCATAAACAAGCTTAGATCGATGCAAAAATTCATTCTGGACCGATTGACATTTCGCACAAACTTAATATACCGTTATGCCGCAAGTGGTGCAGATACACATGCCTGATATTTAATTTCTATCTTTGCATCTTTTTTTTTAAAGAGCACACGATTTCTGATTGATTTGTGAGTGATACATTAATATATAATCCCTAAATGCATTTTCATCTACGAAATTAAAATGCTTGAAAAAATACAATTTTGCTGTGTCGTTAGTTTACATAGAAGAAAATGCATTTCTCTGAACCTTTCTAATACACTAAATTTTTTTTATAATTTTGTAATTTTTTGATTTTTTTCAATTTAATTTTATATAAATTTTTGATCTTCTTCTTCTAATTTTTAGACTTTTTAATTTTTTTTCGTAATATTTTACTTTGTCAAACTTCTTTTTGCACTTGTGAAGTGGTTTTGATTTTTCGCTAAAAGCCGTTAACTGGTTTTGTCCTTTACAGAGTTCATAAAAAAAAATATCATGTGTTAGAATAGAGGGAGGGTATAAGCGTATACAATTCTCAATAATGCGAAAAATGTGAGAATAAGCGTCTGAATTTGTTTACATTTGTTTAAGTATTTGTATAAAAATTGGTGGAGTACGAGAGTAAGCGCATAAAAATTGGCAAAGTACGAGAATAAGCGTATACAATTCTCTCTGGAGAACAGAGTTGCTTTCAATAAATAGTGCAAAAGCACTGTAGCAATTCTGTTAAATGAGAATAAGTGGTGGAAAAAAAACCCAATCAATTCTGTAAAATGACAATTTGCTACGTCTTTTAAACGGAGTGATGTTTCGAAAAAATTTCTTAGAGTTTTCAAAAACTTACTATTTGTAATAAATCAAGACTGCTGTATATTTTATTTGCATTAAACATTATTTACATATTTGTTTTTAAGAAGTTATATAAAAAAAACAGAGTAATTCATTTTTAATTCAAATTAGGTTGTCTTATAAATGACTCACGTCCTGCATTGAATTAATATTGCACGTACTAATGGTAAAGTAACTTCTAGATTGAGTTTGACACGGCTCACTTTCCAAGTCTACGCCCTCCTTTAGATATTCTTCTTGCTCCAGCTTGAAACATTTGTTCATGTACCTTCATAATTATATAAAATATAAAAATATAAAAGAAAAGGAAAATTTTAATAAATATGCATAAACTCCATAACAAATGAAATGAAACTTAAGAACAAGATTGTATAATTTTAGATCAATATCCAAAACCATAAACGAGATTTATGTAGAAATTAACAAAATTGAACAATCTATACATATATAGTCGAAAGTCAACAATTAATATGTTGTAAAATATTGAGAAATAAACCAAAAAAACAAAAATTATATAAAAGTACTCTATACATAAATTAAATACAAAAAAGCGATTTTACGAGAAATAAAATAAAAAACAACAATAAACATATAAAAAATCAACGTGACGTACGTTCATATACAATTCAAATGTCTTCAATTGATCCATGATTATTCATTCCATCTTATCTAAATGCAAAATTTCGTATTTTGTTTAAAAAATAATTGAGTAACATAAAAAATTCAAATAGTAAACAAAACAGTGCAATGGGCATATTGATTTATTGGTAACTTTCGCAGGGCTGCTGTAGAAGAGGAACAAATTGGGGAGTTTTGTAAAAAATGTTGACTCAAGTATGGAAGGCAAAATTGAACATTGCTCAAAGTATAAATAATTTTCAGAAGCATTTTCAACCAACACAACCAAAGGTTCACTTTTTATTGATTCAATAATTTCATCGAATTTGGGGCTGTTCGATATCAAATCGAAGCTTCTCTTTTGATTGGCTCGAGTCGAGAGTTCATCTTTGACCGGTTACGTTTTTGTTACCGAACCAAAGGTTCAATTTTTATTGGTTCAAGAAAGTTATCGGATCGAGAGTTGACTGTGTTTAATTCTACAGTTTTTGTTTAAATGACGCGTGTATGAAACACGTGTATGAAACACGCGTCATTTAGATTGAAATGGCCGAAGACAATAGAAAGTTCGATGTTTAGTTTATGAATTCTGATGAATATTTACTTGATTTGATATATATTTGAGAAATATAAGTATTATAAAGATTGCTCAACGTTCTTTAAAACCGCCTTGCACTCACTATCATGAGTTTCTGTTAATGTCATTTCATTGCATCTCTGCTTGCAACATCTCGATCAGCTGACAAAGAACGAACGAAGAAAAGAAGAGAAAAAAGATAAACATATGGGATAATATGAGATAAACATATGGGATGTTTATGGTCTGGAATAAGACTTAATGCAAAACAAAAAGAACACGCTTTCTGGCGAACATAATTTTTTTAAACTCAGATAAACGAACAATTTTACTGCTACCTTTCCTGCTTGCAAAATTCTTTAATTGATATGCCTAAAGTGAAAAGTGAAAAGCGAAATCGTTTGCATCATGAAGTTCAAAAACAGGGTACTTGTTATAGTTGAATAATTGAAATGTTCATTGCGTGTTCATGGTTTCTCGTTGTACTAGGTATTCTCTTTAATAAGGAATTTGGTCAGCATATATTGAAGAACCCTTTGGTTATAACAAGTATGCTGGAAAAGGCTGCCATTCGCCCCACTGATGTGATATTGGAAATTGGACCTGGTACAGGTAATATGACAATTCGAATGCTGGAGCGTTGCAAAAAAGTGATAGCCTGTGAAATTGATACACGCTTGGCCGCTGAACTTCAAAAGCGTGTGCAAGCCACTCCCATGCAATATAAATTACAAATCCTTATTGGCGATTTCTTAAAAGCAGACCTGCCCTTCTTTGACTTGTGCATTGCGAATATACCATATCAAATCAGCTCACCACTTATTTTTAAATTGCTTTTGCATCGACCATTATTTCGTTGCGCAGTGTTAATGTTTCAACGTGAATTCGCTCAGAGATTAGTAGCAAAGCCGGGAGAAAAGTTATATTGTCGTTTAAGCGTTAACACTCAACTTTTGGCTCGAGTTGACATGCTAATGAAAGTAGGAAAAAATAATTTTAAACCGCCACCCAAAGTTGAATCGAACGTAGTACGTTTGGAGCCAAAGAATCCACCGCCACCAGTAAATTTTACAGAATGGGATGGTTTAACACGCGTAGCCTTTCTGCGTAAGAATAAAACTCTAGCGGCCGCCTTTAAAATTAATTCAGTTTTGGAAATGTTGGAAAAAAATTACAAGTTGCACTTATCGCTAAGGAATAAGGTAAGTAAAGTGGCATGTACAACAGGAAACATGGCGGAAACATGATCTGAGGACTTTAAATTTCAGCCCATTGAAGGAAATTTTAACATGCAGGCAAAAGTTATAAATATATTGGAGAAGGTCAATATGGCGAATACAAGAGCACGTTCAATGGATTTGGATGATTTCATGCGTTTATTATTAGCCTTTAATTCGGAAGGTATACATTTTAATTAAACCAAAACGATGACTATAGTTTGTGTTTATAAAAAATAAAATTATCTTTTTCCTTTTTTAAAAAAAAAGATATGCAATCAATTCTTCTTCTATCTTTCACGTTCCATGTAGCTTTTGCTTGAAATTGAGCATCTTGAGTTTAGTGGGATGTAATTAGTTACTTGTTAACTTTGATGCTTAAATACATTTTCCCTTGTATAGTTTGCTTTACGGGATTGATTTTCTTCAAAATTTGCATCATAGTTTCAACCAGTCGATCGCTAGATACTCCGGTCTTTTTATTTTTAAATTTCGTTAATAACTCTGTAGTGGTCATTGGTTTACGCATAAGATACCGTCTGACAGCTTCTTCTGTGATACCAAAATCACTGTCAATGAAAAAAAAAAAAAAACGAATATCAAAATATCAATCCTGAAATGAATTTTTTTTGTTTAACATACTCTCTGCTGCTGTTTGCATTAACCACGCCAGCAAAGGTTGAAGGCAGGGACGATGCTATTTCAGTTTTGATTCGCTTGGCGGGAGTATTAACTGGACTATTACTGTTCTCAGAAGCTGTTAAATCACCGGGCATGCTGTTCAGTTTGCGTTTGCTGTTATCGCTGCTGAAAGTTGGCGTAGTCGATCGAGAACTATTTTGATTGCTATTAACTTTAGCATTATCTTTTGGATTCTTTTTATTTTTAACAATGTCTTCCTCCGAATCAGTGCTATCTGAACTAAAATCACTTGAGGAATCTGAAATAAGAAACAGTTCACAGATTTTGCAAATTTTCTCCATCATTCTTTTTATCACCTTTCTTGTCATCTTTATTCTTATTCTTATTTTTCTTCTTATCTTTAGTCGTTTCCTCCTTATTTTTATCTTTTTTCTTTTTTTCATCGTCCTCATTGTCGGATTCTTCCGATTTATTTTCTTCCTCCTCCTCTTCGTCCGAGGTTAAAAGTTTACGCAAAGCGTCTTCCTCTGCCACTGATTTCATATCCTTATCGACTTTCGATTCGGGATCAGGTTCGCTTTAACGGAAAAATAATAGCTTTTATATATTCGATTTTTTCGGTCGTATAGGTTTTTAAACTTACTCTTCACTTGATTCGGTGTCATAGTCCATTTCTCGACCTTCTTCATCGCCATCATCAGATTCTTCGAAAGCTTCATCGTCTACATCATGTTTTTTCTTCTTCTTTTCACCTTTTTTACCTATTACGCCCTTTTTCTTTTTCATGCCATCATCATCGCTGTCTTGTTTTTTCGTTTTCTTTCCTTCGTCACTGTCCGAATTCGACTCATCTTCCGAGTCAATCCATTCATCCATTTCACTGATTTTTAACTCTTTAGGCTTTTTATTGCCGCCTTTTATTTTGACTTCTTCAGGGTCTTTTTCTTCCTCTTCGTCGCCCTTCAAACGTTTACGCAACATCAATGAAAAATAATTGATGACCTTTTTTCTTCTAGTAAATTCCTGTTCAGCTTCTTCAGCGGACAAAGATTTATATCGTTGTATGGGTTGAAAGTTATACCATTCATTAAGCGGATAGGCCTCAATGGCACCATCTGGAGCATGTGTGAACACATAAAAAGCAGCATTTTCACTAACTCCACCTTCACGTATACCTTTAAACTTTTTCCCGTTTTTACCACCCACTTTTAAAATCCATGGTTGAGCTTCTGGCCTGTATTTTTTTGCAATTATTCCGAATTTCTTGCGCCTAACTTCTTCACGCAAGTCCCGATTATATTCCGATCCTGCTCCGAATTTTGGCATATCCTCTTCCATACCTTTAAACTCCTTTAAATTATTTTCCCTTTCCAATTTTACTGTTCGCCATTGGGCGAAGTCGACGTTTAGCGTGGCATTAAAACGCATAACATGATGCTTTTTTCGTAAATTTTTTGGTACACGTATGGCGAATTCTTGTACATTAGCTGTTGCCGAGCTGCTGCTGCTGCTGGTTGAAACCTGTGAAGAAAAAACCTTTGTATGTATTATTTTGCACTTTTACAGTTTACAATTATTGATATTTACTTACAAATGCTTTACTTGTTGAAGACATTAGGATTTCTCTAATATTTTCCTAAATATTGTAATTTTTCGCTCGTTACAAAGAAATTTTCGCTTTCAAGAAAAATAAAAAACAAATACATAAACAAACGCATAAGGAGATGACACAACGCCTGCGCGTATACCGTACGCTATTCCATTCATGCAATGGCTTTGACAGAATCTGATGCTTGAAAAGTAAAGCGTACGATCTTGATTTATTCGCAAAAACATCTTTACTTTGATTATCAATGCAGATGGATGTAGCGTCCGTATGCTGCTTAATAAGCGAAAAAATATAATTAAAGTATTTACTAATCATTTTCATTTCGTTAGTTTCATTCTTTTAATTATAAATCTTTATTTATTTGGCATTCACTGTTTACAAAACACATATAGCGATGTAATATTTTCACCTTCAAGCGCATGATGCCCGATACCTATGTTCTGCCCTTTAATTGAAGCTGCGTTTGCAAACATATGTGTGGTAAGTAAAGAATTATCGAAATTCATATGTCTTTTATTGTCGCTCATAGTGCATCTCTACTAATTTTTGATTTGTTGTTTTATTTATGAAGGAAAAAATTTTTCATTTTTAGATCATGAAATTTTTTATTGTTCGGTAAAAAAGTATAATCATTTGCAGTAGGTTTTAAAAGGGGTACATGATCAAAATGTATGGCATGGTAAAAACGATACGAAATAGTGTAGTAGGTCAATATCCTTCATGTCATATTACTAATCGTTTGGAAGAACGAAGAGCAAAGTCGAGAGCTTTACGTCAAGAACGAAGACGGAAGCCAGATAAACCGGATGATTTTGTTACCTACGAAGATTCAGGCAGCGATGAGGAAACGCCTCAGCAACAGGAAGAGATTTTGAATACTTCATATAATATTTGCGACTTTGTACGCAGTCGGGAGAACAACCTATTGGAGGTAATATTTCATTTTTTTTTTTTTTTAATTGCTTTGTCTAAATTGTCGTATTTTTGTTTGTGATGAAGATGCAATTTCTTTTTAACTTCACTTGCTTTAGTTTAAGTGCCCCTTGTTCCATTTTTTCTTTAATTTCAGAGACGAAGTTATAACTTTGAACAGACTACACGCTATGTTTTAACTCATGATATGTTGCGCGAGACCCAAATTAATTTGGGCTATGTTAATAAGGTGTTTTGTTCGAAATGGCTTAGCAATCGTCAAGTGGTTTTTGGAACGAAATGTAATAAGGTATTGTTTGTAAACTCCGCTAGAGAAGTTTTGCTAACTTTTGCTAACTGATTATATGTAATATGCCCTTAATACGGTTTTGCAGTTATTAATTTATGATGTTAATATGCGTAGAGTAGACGCCATACCGACATTGTCCGCCAATCGTGTCAATCATCCGGAAGTGCAAGGTGGATTACACTCTATTGAGATTAATACAAGTCGCAGTTATTTAGCCACCGGGGCGCGAAATTCTGCTGACATAGCTGTATACCGCTTGCCGACCTTGGATCCAGTATGTGTAGGGGAAAACGGTCATCGTGATTTGATTATGGGCATGTGTTGGTTGGATGATCAATTCCTAGTGTCAGGCTCTAAAGACTCTCGATTAGCTTTATGGCGTATTAATGAAGACTATATGGATTTTCCGGACGGTGGCAAAGAATCTTGCCCCACATTTGCGACCATAAATCCCTTGAGCATACGTGACTGTCGGACTGCGCAAAGAGTGAGTTGAATTATTTTACTATTTTATTATTATACGCTATTATTATATTATTCAAATGGTCTGTTATATCGTTCTTCTATAAATGCTGTTATTCTTCTATCCCCTTTATTTTGATGTTTCATCAAGCATGTCAAAATTAACCATTGTTAATTAACAATGTCAAAATTATGCGAAGTTAAGCAAAGATTTAAATTTCTTTATTTATTTATTTAAAAACTTTATCAATTCATTTAATTACTTCCTACAGGGTTAATACTCACTTACGAATTCCTAAGTGAATATTAACGCATGCAAAATTCCATTAAGGAAAATAAAATATGTGCTAAATTTTTTGCACCTTAGATACGTTCTCTTTGTTTCAACAAAGAATTTCGAGAGATTGCTGCGCTATCGTTGAACGGTTATATACATATTTTCAATGCCGAAACTTTTAAGCAAAAATTATCCCGCAAACTACCAAATTGTCAGGACAACGTAAGCATTGCTTATCACTCAGACGGCTTATATGCCATCGGTTGTCGTTCTTACACTATTCTCTTGGACACAAGAACATTACAGGTATTATGAGAATAAGATATGTAGAAAATGTAATAATATTAATAACTTTTAATTAATAATAATTTAATATAGTGGAATTTAATTAATATGAAACGGTTTTTTAGACAATTAAAAAAATAACCTCACGTTATAGTGGTTGCGGCATAAGAGCAACCTCTTTCGAGGGAAATTTACTAACCGTGGGAACCGGTCTCGGTATGTTACTCTTCTACGATATACGGGCCGGTAAATATTTAGAAAGCAGCGTAAATGCCGCACGTACTGTTACATTAAAGTGCAGTAAGGGCATAGTGGTATGTAACCGAAATACAATATATTTTAGTTTATTTGCTTATGGGGTTAAATTTTATTTATTGATAGTATCCCGAAGACGAAATGGACGGATTTAATGTTAAATATGTACCCGCTATTTATACGCATTGTTACGATAGTACTGGTATGCGATTATTTGCTGCAGGTGGACCATTGCCCGCCACTTTGGTGGGTAATTATGCTGGAGTTTGGCAATAATCGGAAATGAAGTCCTAGAACTTGTTTCTAAATTTGTAAGAGACATAAAACTGATTAAGAATTAAGTAGTAAAGTTTTAGTGGAACAAAAACGGGCAATGATGGAGAAGAGGGCGTTTCTACATTTCCTCCAATCCGTTCAAAATTTACTTCCTTTAAATTGCAAATCGTTGATAGCAAGCTTTGGCCTTTTCTTGACTTCAACTATTCAATGAAGACCTATGAAAGCTAAATGAGAGCTAAAATCATATAATCGATATCTTTAATGGCCTACTCTTGGCCTTGATGCGATTTCAGCATTTTTTTGATAGATTAAAATTTATAAACATAAATGAAATCTAATCAAATCGCTTATGACTACTTATAACGCATAAGACGATGAATTGATTCATCAAAATTTTCGTCCGACAAATTTTCTCATTTATATTACAATTTTTATGGAGATGATTTGCAAGCTGAATCCTTCCAAATGTACTCCGATAACGAATGCCGACAAGAATGCTGGATTAAAAATTATTCGCTTCCCCTACACATTAACTATATATCGTTTTAATCACGTTCTTAGCCATTATTTTATTTATTTTATCAACTCGCTATAATGTGAGAAGAAATGCATACGAAGTTCCGGTGTATGCGTTCGGCAATGATACTGAACAATAATTTTTTGAATGAAGTAAGGGCAATGGTCCGAATTTAATTGGTCTGACCATATTCATATTCATTCATTACCATGGCCATATGAAGTGATCGACAATGTCTCTTAAGACAGATTTATTCATATGCAAACCTATTCTACCGTTTTTCAACATTTCCAAACTTTCTATTGCTTTTAAAAACCCCTTTTAAACTCATTGCCATGAATGTCGTATCGAAATTCTTTCAGTTCTTTAATTTTTGCGTGATAAATATACATTAGGATTGGTCGAAAAGTCCTAGGACTTGGGTTTCGGATTTATTATGAAGTCTTGTGATCTTTATTATGCATGTAATTTTTGTTTTATATGTCATTATGTATGCTTGTGTGTATTTATTTATTGCGTAATGTTTGGATTATTAATTATCTTAATTTAGAAGATTTCATATTATACTTGTTATAGTGTTAACGCAATAAGGACCATTTTAGAACCGACCGATGTCTCGGAGAAATTTTAAAAAATATAATAATTTTCAAAAAATTTACAATACAATAATGTGACCTTCGTGTCCTTATGTACATTGCTTTTAAGTCTTTCAAATAGTTACATTTTTGCCGAAAGAAGGCCCTGTAATTGGATAATAGAACTAAAACAATCATTAATTTTATAATTTATACATAAAAACTAAACATTATATATACATAATACGTCTTGATCATGATTGTGTAATAAAGTGTGTATGTTAAGTCAATTTGAGTAATTAAGAGGGGAAAAAAAACAAAAAAAACCATTTAAAATATCGTTGACAAATATTTAAAGAAATATGACATTTTTTTGCAATAAATTTTTCCAAATAAATTCCTGGGCCATACAAGAAGTTCCCTTAAAATCTAATTATTATTAATGTTGCCAGCACCGCCCCAAGAGGGTAGAAAATTCCCCCAACCACTGCGGTGACTGCTATCTGCGACCACTAAAATTAATAAAAAAAATGAAAATTTTATATCGTAAGCAAAAAAAAAATTATCAATACTGAATTGGGTAAATGCATAATTCTCAAGTGCTTGAATTTGCCAATTGAACTAACTTTGTTTTTATCCATATCCATTTTAAATTATGCCGAACGAATGAAATTTTTTAAAATAAAATATTGCTGCGCAAGTTCGGTTGTAAGAGAGCCTGGCAGGTTGGAATAGATGCCATAGAAACTCGTAGAATTTTTTGAATTTGTTTGTAGATTTTGATAATGGAATACATTACTTTTAGTTTATAACGGGTAAGGGCGGATTGATATGCCCAAAATGGCTTTCTAATCTAAAAAGACTATTTCCGCCGATAGATAATTAGAAAGCGTTTACATAGATACCATACTAATTAATTAACTTTATCCTCAAGTTTCTCGTTGCTTGCTTATCAGTTTACTGTTATGTTGGGCCTTTCAGTGTATCCCCGATATTCAATAATTTTAAATATATTTTCAATCTCATTGCGATGGAATTGAAAATTATGCGCACAAATTAATTAAATTACCTTTTTGCCCTTTAGCAACACAGTTCAACATTTCCGTTTCGGTACGACTCAATTTTAAAATAGTATTTAAAACTGGCACTAAACGGATTCTTTCATCGCTATTGTTAAGAGTTAAAAACTGAAAATGATTCCATCAATTTAATGAAAAAACAATTTCAAATAATGTTAATGATAAAATCAACGCATACCTTCATGATAACATTTTTTAAATACTCTGAATTATGCATATGTTGCTGCCTCTCGCTGCAACGTTCTTGGCGACGCAATTCTTCTTTAAGTATATCATTCATTTGTGTGAATTTCGCTAAATCTTGCTCATTTTCTGCCAACAAGGCGGTCAGGTGACGCACTCGGCTCTCTTGCATTTGTAAGCGTTCTTTAGTATCATGCAAGTCCAGTTGCAACAAACCGATTGGATTATTGTCCGATTCAGAAATTTGCCTTTGATTATTTGTAAGCAAAGTTTCGCTGTTAATAGCATTAATGGGTGTATTTAGAAGCTCATCTAATGGCATGAAATCATGTTGGCCCCGTTTTTGATTCGAGGAAGCATTAGAAATCTTACGAGAAGCGGCGAGAGTAGCTAAAGCCTCTTCAGAGCCTTCCGCGTCTTCCCGCTCCATAAGAAGGAAATCAATTTTGCTCTGCTCGCCCGCTTGCAACATATCAGCCAAGGGCGGCGGAGCTTGGGTTTTCGAAGCACCTATAGACGGCGTGACTCGTTGATTAGCATTCATTTCCTTATGCAATTGCTCGATTTGTTTTTTATGAGCGATAACCAATGACTGAATTTGTTCTTTATGACACTCATTCACTGTTTCTATTTGTAAACGATGCTGCTTTAGAATCTCATGTTGCTGCTGGGCTAAAAAATATGAGAAGAAGTTTATGAAACATTTACATAAAACGAAAATAAAGAAAAATCAACCTTTCTGTTGCAATTCTTGGGCCAAAGATTCATTTTGGGCCCGCGATTCCTCGACAATTTCCATTAACTCTTTGCAACGCTTTTGCAAACTAGCCTGATCGTCATTAAGCAGCTCATTCTGTTTCTCGGACATTTCTAATTTTGTATTCAATGTCTGTACAGTCGTTCTCAGTTGATGTTCCGTAGTTCGCGACATTAACAACTCCTCCTCCAATTCTTTTTCCTTAGTAATATCGCGAGTTTGATTTTTTCTTAAGACAGCCTGAGCCTTGACTTTATAATCCAAATACTCGACACGTAAATCTTCGGTAGCTCTCTCCGCCGTTTTTAAACGTTGCTCGGTATTAAACAGAATTTCTTGCGTAGCTCTGAACTGATGCATTAATTCTTCCTTTTCGGCGGACAAGGCATTCAAGGCTTTATCATGTTGGCTGGCTGCTGCAGACAATTGCATACGGGCAGATTCAAATTCCAATTTTAAATTCTCAACATCGTGTTCTAGACTTTTACTTGCATCGAGAGCCTGCTGTTTGGCATAAACCATGTCTTTTAAAGTTTTTTGCAAATGATCGATTTGCTCTTTTAATTCTTGGGAATGGTTAATTTCGGACTCCTTAGCGGATTCTAATAAATGTATTTCTTGACGCAACTGCTTAATTGTGGTTTCCTTAGTAATAAGTAAATCTTGCATTTCGCTTAGTTCGGTAGTGCGTGCTGCCAATTTAACGGAGACATCTGTCAATGACTTTTCGGCCGCCTCAATTTCCAAATTTAAAACGTTTGCCTGCTTTCGAGACGAACGCAATTTTTGATTCTCCACCTTTAGAGTATCCACCTGTTTCTGCGCCTCTAACAATTGCTGCTGAACATTATCCATTTCCGTTTGTTTCACATGCTGTTGATGGTTGAAGTCTTGCTGCATTTGTGCTTGCTTCGATTTATAATTAGCTAACTCCTCTTCTAAGTCTTGATTTAAAGCAGTTTGTTCCAACAGTTTCTTTTTAAATTTGGCCGCCAAGCTCCTGACTTTTTGATATTTATCTTCGAAAGAATCTTGCTCCTCTTTAAAGCACTGCAACTCTTCGCCTTTCGATATACTCGATGTAGATAAAAGATCGCTTTGATTATCTTGATCCGGGGGACTGGTCTGTGTATAAGTTTTAAGAGTTTCTAATTCATTTCTAAGTACACGCACTTTCTCCTCATTAAGAGATGAACAATTTTCTAAACTTTCCATTTTTTGTCGAGCATCTTCAACTTCAGACCTTATTGCCTTTAATTGTGCCTGCTTATCATCGAGTTCCTTTTCTTTAAAAGCTAGCGCCTCCTGTACTTGCTGTAATTTTTCAGAGTTCTTCTTCAGATCGACCTGCAATAGCTGGCAGTCATTTTGCTGACGCGAAATCATATCGCCTCTCGCTTTTAACGCTTCATTCAATTCGCGCATTTCATTCAACAATTCCGTGTGTTCCGTTTCCTTCTTTTTATACGAACAACGCAAATCTTCCAACGATTTCTGAGTGCTGGATAATTTTCCATTTAAATGAGCACAACTTCTTTCCAATTTTAATACATTTTCCGCTAAAGATTGTTTTTCAGCTTCTAGTTCGTCCAGTTTGCAAATTAAATTAAGTTTATCTTCTTTTAAATTTTTTAACTTTTCCAGTAATTCTTGGGTGTCTTTCTCCTCGCTTTGGAACTTTTGTTGTCCTTCCATTACCTGTTGATATTTTTCCTCTAAGATTTGTAATTCCGACTGCTTGAGTTCAAATTCTTCTTGAGCTTTTACGCTTAAATGCTGCATTTCATCTAATTTTTTAAAAATTCTTCCATAATTTCCATTCTCACTTTGTGATATGTTTAATAATCTTTGCAGTCTATCGTTTTCTAATTTTAGTAAAGTTTGATCTTCCTGCACCCTTTCTGCTAATCGAGATATTTCTTCCAATTTTAAAACAGATCGCTTAATGGCCTCGAATGGTTTTTGATGTTCGCTTAAGTGTGCGTCGATGGATATTTCCTGCCGACCCAAAAGGCGCACGTTCTCTTCCTGAAGTTGTTTGTGTTCTTGGCAAGCTGTTTCACTCAACTCTAATAATGCATTAAGTTTTTTCATCGGAATTAAATGATCTCCTTCCCAGGGACTTTTTCCTGATATTCGTAACAGTTTTGCGTTTTCCGATTTCAAAACGTTAAACTCTTTACACAATAACTGCGAAGCATGGATAATTTCATTTTGCCACTGGGACACTGAATCCGCATATTCATGTTGCGTTTCCAACAAGACTCTTTTGCATTCTTTTAACTTTTTCAATTTTCGTAGCACTTCAATAAACCGATCTTTCATATTTTTAAATTTTTGCTTTTGTTCATTATTGTTTTCCTTCGTAAGTTCATATAACTGTTTCAGTTCTTGCAATGATTTACTGATTTCTACGTTTTCCTGCTGCAGAATCTCATTTCTAGATTTGGCTTGCTGCAGTATGCCCACTTCATCTTCTAGCAATTCTAAATGTTGTTTCTGTTCATGACCCAGAACATTTATTTGTTGCATGTGTTGTTCCATTCGCTGTAAATCCGCTAAAAGTGAATCATTATCGCCGCTTAAACGCTGCAATTGACGTTTAACGCACTCATTCTCGATAGATAGTTTTTCCAACGCTTCCACATCCATTCTACGCTGTTTTTGAAGTTCTGATACTTGATTCGTTAATTGAAGTTTGTTTTCTGTATAAGACTCTACCATTTCTTTCATGGTCAATAAAGATTTCTTATCGGCCTCCTTTTGGGTTTCATGTTGTTGCAATAATTCCTTTAATTTACGATTTTCTTCAGATGATTCTTAAAGTTAAATGAAAATAAAATAGAATTTTGCATTGACCTTATTGTCAATTATAGTAATATGTTTATATAGTGAGTCTCATTAATATTGGGTTTTTTCGTTTGACAAAAACTAAACGCTTATTATATCTAATCCTACTTCTTCTGTTATTCAGCAAATTAATAACCGAAAATTCGCTGCGATGTGTACAAAACACCCAAAATTTTCATATGTTTGGACAATGGACTAGGTTTAATAAGCAAAAAAACCCAATACTAAGGAGACTCACTGTGCATTATTTACCATCTTTAGCCTGCTTAGCTTTCTTCGCTATAATTAATAAACTTTTATATTTATTTATAATTTCCTCTTTAGTTAATAACTCTAAAGTTAATTTCTGTTGTTGTTCTGTTGTTGCCATTTTTTCATCCATGGTTAAGCGCTCTTATAAGAGTCGTGCTTTGCGTCTTAAAAATTAGTTAAAATTAAAAACACAACACTTGATATTTTAATTATGTTTGTTGAGTTTTCTTTTATAATTTCTATTTACGTTGCCAATCACTTATCGATAACAATTTATTCGATACTTAGGATATGAAAAACAAAATGCAGAATAGATATCAACTGAGAAAAAAATATTAAAAACTGAAAAGAAAAATATTATGAATATCAATTTCTTAACCATAAAAATAAAAATACATAGCTAAAACATTAATGGCATTAGTGTTTTTATATAAATTTATTTGCAAAAATTTCTTTTACTACCATCAAGTGCAACTTTGCAACTCTGTTGTAATGAATGTAGAAAATACGACGAAGAAAATGCGAAAAAGGATACGCTACAACGCAGATAAAATTTTTCTTTACAAAAAATGGAAATTATCAGTTGAATTTGCGTAATTGCTATTAAAAAAATTCCTCTTTTATGCAATAAATATATGTTGCATTAGCTTTTAAGTGTTTAAACACATTGGAACATGAAGAGAAACAGTTGAAATAATTCCAATAAAAAGGTAACGCAAAAAAGTAGAAAAAAAAAAGAAAAAAAAAAAACAAATGAAAAGGTAAAAAGAAAAAGTTCAAAATGTTTTATTATCCAGCAAACGTTGTCGCATTCATTATCGCTTTCGCAGTGTCTTAAAACAGATTAATAAATAAAATTTCGCGATCAACCAAGATTTTTGCACCTAGGATTAATAGTATATAATAAGTTACCGAGAGTTGAGGGTTGAAACCCTCAGTTCTGGTAGAGGATAAGTGCTCTTCTTGTTTTCTTAATTAAGTGTACTGAGAGGATTGTCATTTGGATATAAGGATAACGGCGTAGATTTTTTGCTACCAAAGGGCATATTCGTATACGATAACCTTAAAGCCGCGATATGACAGATAAAAATGGGCAAGGAGGGCAGTGGTTGAAAGGAACAGCTGCAATATCAGCACAAAAACAAATCCAAGGAGGCCCATCTGTGTATGGGTCTGGCGTAACGTTAAGATCATCTCAACCGGCTTCTAATGCTTTTTATGGCGGTGCCAGCGTTGGTAGCCACTCATCCGATAATTTGTCATATGCAGCTAGATTTCAAGCCCCTCCATTAAGTCATCATTCAACAGCATCAACTTCGAATGCAATACCTTCCTCAGTCACCTCCAACGTACCTGCACCCAGCGGATTTGTTCCGCCTCTGTTTACACCAGCTGCTACGCCAACGACATCAGTACTAACATCCAATCCATATGCTGCGGCATCTTTAACAGGTCAAAATTCCGCTTGTACCACGAGCGTATATCAGCAAACAACATCGCAATGCCTGGGACCACAATCAACTCACTTTGGGGTTGAGCAGTTACGACATTTGAACCCACAACAACAGTACGAACTTAGTAAATTGATGGCAGTCTCATTCGGCAATAGCCAATCAAGTACGGTCGTCGACAGTCATCATCCTTCAGCTACATGTAATACGTCTAATGTCCCCCACTCAAATTCAAATACGATATCGCGTCAGTCTCAGCCTGGTGCTGATCAAACTGTATCGGGCGTAATAAGTAGTCAACTTGCTGAACATGTCATAAATACTATTACTTGTGGTAATAGTGCTACCAAATTAGCTACTGCTCCCTCGCATGGTCGATTAATGAGTTTGGGCGTTCATGTACCTGATGATGATAAACTCAAACGGATACAATACGTTGTGGAGACAGGAGTAGGGTAAATATATATATATATATATATATATATATGTGCACATATGCAAAGAATGTATACTTAATAACTGATTTCTTTATAGGGATCATGCTAAGCAACAAATTACGCAGATTTTGGATCGTATTTCTGCTTTAAGACCGGTAGAGAAACTTTTACTTTATTTACGATTACCTGGCGAAACTCCGGAAACCGGTAAGTGATTGTGAAAAAAACTTATTACCTTTAAAATAACAAAGTTCAATTTATTTTGAATATAGATCCATTGCGGCAACCGCAAAATCCTTTAGGCACTCGTTCAGAGATTAATCATACTATTAATTGGGTTCGTACACATTTAGAACAAGATCCACAAGTCTCTATCCCGAAACAAGATGTCTACAATGATTACATGTGAGGGCAATTTGAAAACAAACCAATTCAAAACCAATAATAATTATATTCTACAGAGTCTATTGTGAGCGTTTGGATATAAAGCCTTTGTCCACAGCCGACTTTGGAAAAGTAATGAAACAGGTCTTCCCGGGAATAAGGCCGCGTCGTCTGGGTACTCGTGGTCATTCACGTTACTGTTACGCTGCGATGCGTAAAACTAGTAAACTACCTGCTCCTCATTTACCCACATTTAGTACGACGACAACTACTATGTCAAACGATGCGGATAATGCAAGTGTTGATGATACCGAAGATCAAGACGAGAGCTGGAATATTATCAAAGAGTGGGCAGAGAATATTTTGAACTTTAAAGGAAATGATTTAAAAGATTTAGCCAATCACATCAAAGGAAATACATCGGCGTCGACAGCTGGTAGTCAAAGTGCGTACACGGGAGCTGTTCGAGGGACTAATGTTACTCACAAAAAATATGCACAACGCGAGCCCAAAGAAAAACGTCTTCTAGTGGTAATGATGTAACAATTATCCTTATAAAAATAATTATGTATGTTGAAATATATTTATTTATATAGGATATGGGACCTCTCAAGAAAAGACGTAAAAAGAAGCGAAAAGGTTCATCATCATCAGAATCAAGTTGCAATCAATCTGTTGGAATAGATCGTGCCGCACATCAGCAATTACCGCAAGAGCAATTGCAATTGTCACCGTCTAACAGTTTTCAGAGCAATCAGCAATCCAATTTGTCGCCCGCCATGGACGATGGGCAAAAATCAATGAAAATGATCAAAATTAAACAGGAAGTTTTAGATACACCCAATTACACTCCAATGATGGCACATATGCCACTAAAGTCTTTACAAGATGATAATTGTACACATCCAGATGATCATTCGTCTTTAGTCCATAATCAACAACAACAACAACACCAACAACAACAAATTTTGCCCATGAATTTGGCGTCTGAGAATCGCGGAGGATTAGTGATTGCACCTCTATCAAGTGCTTTTGAGCATGTCCGACCATCTGCTTCGTCTGTGGGTGCAGCGATAAAGAATTTGACTCCAAAAATAATGGAATTGTCGTCAGAAGATCCAATTGTTAGCCTTGCCCCTGCTAATATCACTATTAAGGAGGAAGTCTTGGTAGATGATTATAACACTGCTAATATTTTTTGCAAAAAAGTGCTTAAAGCTCAACAAACCAAAGGCTTTTATGCCAATTCGCCAAAGTCTTCTACTTCTACGTCATTGCCTATCATAACAACAAGTGCATCAACTCCGCCCCCGGTGCCAGCGAGCGTTATTGCAACAACTAATAACAGTCTTGAGCAGGGCGTGATTACTGCTGCTAGCAATTTTTGTATGGGACCACCAACTCTACAAATGGCACCTTCTATCAGTCCATCTAATCAATCATTGCATGAAGACACGCATAACATCACCCAACCGAAAGTTTTGTCGCGCAATTTGCAGCAATTACGTGCCAAAAAATTTATAATGGCTACAACTGCTAATGCGTCAACTTGCGATGCACCCGATTTAAGTGCAGTGAAGGGTGCAGAACTACCTGAGAGTTTAGGTCTACCTAGGGAGCGTGTCATAAGCATTTGCAATATGGATAAACATGAACTCGACGACTATTTCTTACCTGTAGAGGAAGAAAATTCTGAAGATCAAGAAACTGAACTGCTTCAATATTTTCAGATGGGAGACGCTGAGGAAAAATTAGATAAAAATTCTTCCTCTGATGCTATGCGAAACAACATTAACAATCCAACAGTCACAGATTCATCGTCACCACTGACGACAACGCAATCTACATCTACATCAATTACAATAGCGGCAGCGGCAACGACGACCGCAACTACAACTGTTGTAAATAAATTGACAATGCAAACGGTAAGTCATATCACCATACATCCAACATCATTAATTTCGCCGGTGTTGATGGAAAATGGTAATAAAATCATACATACTTCGCTCATGAAAGCGGTTGCCAAAAATCCGAATGCAATTGATGAGTCAAAAACAGTTGTTGCTTCGTCCTTGTTAACGCCATCAGCTGTTGGATTTGCCTCAGCGTCTCTGACACAATTGTCACAAAAGCATCATCATCATCATCATCATCATCATCAACAACAACAACAACAAAAACAGCAGCAGCAGAAAATAGAGTTGCCACAGCAGAATGAAAAGCATACAATTAAAAGGAAAATAAATTTAAACACATCTACTACGCCAGATATTGCTGCGGCTCGTAAAAACTATAGTTTCCTACCGATATCGCCGAATATAAATTCGACATCTTCCAGTAATACTTCTGGCAATAACGCAGGATTTTTTGCAAGTCCCAGCATGTCGCGTTTATTAACCAAACAGCAATCTTTGGATTGTGATTCAAGTGATCCTATGATAGGATCAGGACGACGTAGACGTAGTTACTTTAATGTTACTTCAGCCTCTGCACCACCTAGTCCATCGGTGCTTAAACAACAAAAAGAACAGCAATTCTTTGGCATGCAAAATTCATTTCTCACTGATCAGTGGTTGGGACCTGGTTTACCGGAAAATGCTCATGTCGCTTACAATGGCAATTCATTAGAAACGGGTAACACGGCAGTGCCAGCTGGTATGCTTTCCGATCAAAACTCCTTAGATTTGGATCTCTTTGGTGAGGCGACAGCTACCACAGTTCCCTCGACTGTTAATAATGTTATCTACAATAACAGAAATAATGTGGACGCCATTCTTAATAACAGTACAGCCGCAATGGGCGGCGACGGTAACGATGGCTTCATCTCACTTAACGAAGTTACACAGCGTTCGCAATCGGTACCGCTGTCACAATTGCAACGTAGCCATTCTCCCAGTTTTAATCGTAGCTTTCATGCAAGCACAGTCAATGCTTCAACCACATATTCAGCTTGCGCTTCTTTGGTTCAAACCCCCGTGCCAACCGACTTTGGTGACTCAACGACAATGCTGTCAGAAAATAGTTGCAGTCAGCAAAGTGCTACTATCAAATTAGAAGAGGTAGCGGGGGTGGTTGCCTCAGATTCGACAGCAATACTTGACGATGTAGACGTCAGTGAAATATTGTCTTCACCAGATTTTGTTACGAAATTTTCGAGTATAGCGCAGTCTGGGACAGCAATAACAACTTGTTCCTCGGCCGGATCATCATCAGGTTATAGCAGTGCTGGCCACTTTAACTCGTCATTAAGCAGCTATGGCGGCGGTGGTACGTCTTCGACAGCGGCGTCACGTTCAGTACCTTCTACACCCCTGCCGCATCAAAATCAACAAAATAGTTTTAGTAGTGGACGTCGTTTCGGATACGCCCATTCAATTAGTAAAGGTTCAGAAAATAGATTTGGCAATGCGACCAAAGGGATTGGATATAATGCGAGCATAGTAGGATCCTCACTTTTATCACGTTCCGCATGTGACATATCAAAGTCGATGCCGTCAACACCTATTACTACTACCCCAAGTAGTAGCAGTTTTCGTTATAGCCCGTCAGAGATAACACGCGATTTTCTTATCAATGGCAACACAATCGACGATAGTATAACCTCATCTTTTAACGGAGTAGACAATGAAAATCTTATGGGGTCAGATGTGGTCGGGGTAAATGCGCCCCTGACCAGCGATTCTTTATTATCAGTAGATAACGATTTGGTAAATGGTAGTACAAAAATTGTCGGTTGTCTGAACAATGCTCCTGATTTTACAACGGCACAAACCGATGCAAATCATCTCAATATAACGGGGGGTGGTGTGGGTGAGTCTTCATCAATTATGTTGAGTTCGGATTTATTAGATAATTTATAGAATTTTACGGAAGAGCAAATAAAAGGATCATGTAAACGCCAGAAAACGCTGCAAACCCTACACGATGACAGTATCGATGGTGGCGTTGTAAGTTTGCTGTTAGCAGAAGTTGGCAAATTGTAATTCATTTCAATTACAAGCTGATAACGATCTATATTCATTGAAACAAGTCGAGCATATTTATCAATCTATGGTTTCAGAGAAGTGAATTGAATTTTTTAAATAGAAAGTTGATCGGACGCACAGAAGATTAAGCGACACAACTGATGAACAGATGAAACTGAAAGATGCGTTTCCAGATAATACTTTGCTTTCTGTTATTTAGATACTTAGGTAATAATATTGAAATAGAACTGATCAAAATTGAATGAAAAATTCACTCGGTGACATCTCTCTCTCTCTCTTTCTCTCTTTCTCTTGCTCTCTTTCTTGAATTGATACGGCTAATGATCAGGCTCTTCGCATGAGAGTGCCCGGAATTGTTTGCTGATTAAACTTCGTCAGCTTAGTTAGCAAGCAATCTAAGCAAGCTTGCTTTCTCTGCCCTAACGTTTATTGATTTTTCAATCAATGTTTTCTCGTCCTCCTGCTTTTTTGAATACATTTCTCAGATCCTAAGAATAATTGCTGTTACCATTTCAACTTAAATGCATGGTGTGCATGGTTTACATGACTTTGTTGTTGTGTCTGAAACAGACTTCATTTTAGAATGCGTACAAGTATTATACGAAATACAATGGGAAGCAATGTAGTGAAGAGATCAGCAGCAACAACGCACTATTCAAATGAAATTATTTACTATGATCGTTTTAATTGCTCTTCACTGTATTAGAATTATAAAAAGATAAATGCGTGATGTTTTTTTTTTTTTTTTTTTTTTTTTTTTTTAACATAAAAAACCGATAAACAAAAACTTTGTTACATAAAAATATTTAAATCTTGTTACATTTGAGTTTAGCATTTGAGATACGTTTCCTGTGAAAGTCCATTGCTTTGTGACTATAAATAGCGTTCAATGAAAAGAAAGGATTATAAAGAAACAATAACGTCCTGGACGTCCTAAATGTGTACTGAAATCTTTTTCGTTTTTGTTCATTTGTTTGTTTGTTTTTTTTTAGCACTTTTACGATTTCTATAATATATTCCATATTTATTCTCTAATTCTCTATTTTCTATTCTATCTGACCATCATCGAACGTTTGAAAAAAAATTAATTTTTTTTTTTTATTTTTTTTATTAAATTTTTTTTTTTTTTTTGCCACAAAAGAAATATGCCTTTCTTTCGTTTATTTTTTGTTTTTTTTTTAATGTCGTGTTTAAATGCTTATTTAAGCGCCGCATATATAAATGCTTATATACATGCATATAGTTATTTATTGATGTTTAAAACATTTAATTGTTGTATAATTGATTTATGTAGATATTCATATACAATGTATGTATACAGTGGGGAAGGGTACAAATTTTATTATTATTATTATTATTTTTTTTTTTTTGTTTTGTTTGAAAATCTCCAATGTATGCGATAGAAATGCGCGTAAGACTCGATCATTCTTATTAACTCTAAACTGTTGGTTGTCGAACTGTTCAAATAAATTTTTTTTTTGTTTCAAAAAAGAATATTAGCTTGAAATATTCAAGAGTGTAAAAAGTTGTGTTTAGAAAAGTTTTGAAAGAAGTAAAAGCAAGTCCTTTTGCCTAAACTTTTGAATTGAGTGAGATTTTGAGTGCAGCTGCGGTAGCTTCGAAGCAGTTTCATTAGCAAAACTTGTTTAGATAGTGAAAGGAAAATTTTTCATATCGTCTTTGGTCAAAATCAAATTTTGATTCAATTAAACCGACTTGTTGTCTTACTAAGGCGATTATAGCATATAACAAAAGAATTGAAAACATCCTACGATTCGTTATTGCAATGGCTTAGTTTTGGACTTGAAATTTTTATCTAGTCACAACGAAACCAAAGCTAAGATTACAGCAAATAGTTTTAAACTTACTTAAAGAACTTTTCGCGCCCCCCACTCCATCCCCATCCCCATCCCCATCCCCATCCTTCCCTCAAACAATTTTCATTGCCTGAGTGATTAATTTAGAACAGTTTGCTACGATAGTAATCAAGATTAAGATGATTTTAGCATAAGTGAGATTTTTTTCAAATTTGTATGAATACAAAACTCATCCCTACTGTCTATAACAGATTGTTAATCTTTATATGTAGTTAATTAATGTAATTAAAATTTTTTAGGTTATTCACGTCATAAATAATTTTCTTTAATACTTTGAGCATCTACGGCAAAGTTTGCCAACATTTGTCCAAATGTCTTAAAGAAAAGCTCTTAAATAGCATTATAACAATATAGGAATAAATTTGCGAAAACACATCACCTGCAGTGAAGAGAACGTGAGCTCAAACTAGTCAAACAAGTCGTCAAATCGATAGACATATCTGACAGGTCAGACCCAGAGACAAAGCCAGCAATTTATATCAATTAATAGCAGCAGCAACATTGTTCATATCGTATCATATACATGCATATATATATATACATATGAGAAAATCAAACACATACCGAAGGTTGTTGTTTAATTGAGTGCTGGTTAGCAAACAACGCCGGATAAAGTATCGGTATCGATTAGCCATTTAGATAAGGGAGATAAGGGAGAGCCACCACCGATTGAATCTTGTATGCGATCAATTCTATTTGAGTTTCACTATCGGGAACAAAATATCATTGTCAACGGCAACGTGTTTTTCATTCAGTTAAAACAACAACAATAATTTCTTCATATCATTTTTCACAATGAAAAATACTATCTATATATTATACGATATTGATTTGATATTCTTCACTTTGACTTTTTGACCATGACTGCGCGTTTGATTTTTGAATCGTGTGCACAGCTAAAAAAACTTGCGCCGTATAATCGAAATTATTCTTTTAATTATTTATTTATTGTTTTTTTTTTTTTTTTTTTTTTGTTTTAGACTAAACGAATGAAAGGTGTGACTTATGTTCAAAATGTATCTATCTATCCATCTATCTATCTATCTATCTAACCGATGGGCCATACACACACACACACATACAATCTATGCTAAGAAAGAATAATTGATATGAAAAAAGCCTTTAGCTTTAAGTGCTCCTCTATATCGTTGAAGCATCATATATTGGAGTTAATGTTAATGTTATTGAATTTCTTGAAAATAATTCTTCTTCTTCATTTGATTTGATTAAAGACCGAATGTGAAAGACCACATTTGACCGGCGTAAATGACTTGAATTACGTTAATCTTTCATTTTTTGTTTTTTTTTTTTTTTTTCGTTTTTCCAAACAATTATGCTTCAAAAATAACAATAAAAAAGAGAAAAGAAAAAAAAAACTAATAATAATGAACATTTACAAGACATAAAAAAATTTTTTTACAAAACATGTGCTAACAATAAACTTTTTTTATTGTTACACAAAGTAAAAGTAAAAATAGAAATTTACATCTATGGATAAAAAATATTATTAATTTTGTTAGCGAATATACATAATAAATATTATTATAAATGAGTCAAGTTGAGAGAAAATGTTAAGATCTAAATGTGCCTCAGGCTTATTCTAATGATAATATCAGAGAGAAAAAAAAAGGGAAAAAGAATAAAATAAATAAAGTGAAAAATAGCTTAATAAAAAATCAATATTCTTATATAAACATTACAAGAAATGACATTTACTTACAAACATACATACACACACACACACACATGCATACATGCATGCATGCATTCATACGTACATATACATTTGTATATATATATGTGTATATATATATATATATATATATATATGTATAGACAAACATATAAAACATATAAACTTTTATATATATATAAAAAATGTGCTAAAAAACATATTTTATTGTACGCAGAAATATCTAGTACACGATAGCAACACTCGTATACACATACATTAAACACTATTCGTAAGACGAATGGAATACAATACCATGTTTTAAAAACGATGTACACAAGTATATATATATATATATATATATATATATGTACCTATATACTTAAATATCTGTAAACAATTTGGAAAACACCAATATTTTGTTTCGTTATATTCTCCCTTGTTCTGTAATATATTTATAAGCTTTAAGCATTTAAAATTTCTTTCTGTTATGTACATATATATGGGTGTGTATATATTTTATATATAACTTTAGTTTTAATTATAAAAGAATTTTGTAAATATTACTTAACTTCTTTGTTATAAATCCTTTTTTCTTTGCCTTCTTTTTTTTTATTATTACCTTTCATACTCATCAACTTTTTTTGCTTCCTATACAAGAAAAAAAAAAAAAAAAAAAATAAGGAGACATTTGGAATAGTTTTTTTTTTTTTTTTATTTAAATATTTTCCCGTTAGATGATCAACTGGCACATCTATCAATGCCAATGAGTTCATCGGTCCACCAAAATTAATCTTAATCCTAACATTTTTCATAAATAGCAGACGGTTACGGGTTGAATACTGAATAACGAGTAGCGACTTCGAATCAGTTCGAATGCAAAACAATGTAATCGAGAAGTATCCGAATTTGGTCAATTGATCGTTGGAAGCGTTTCTTTTAATTTTAAACGTTATAATAAAAGTTGATGAATATCGAAAGATTCGGTTCATACCGAATGTAAATGCTGATCAAGAAGTATCTGCAAGTTGTTACTACTGCAATTACAAATAATATCTTTCGGAATAATTGCAGTGCCACATGGGGACAAGTTTTGAAAAATTTTTGGCAAAGATGCTCTGAAAAAAGCCTGCCAAAGCCTTGAGTAATAAAAAAAAAAGTTGAAGATAAAACTGGTGAGAAAATTAAATTAAAAATTTTTCTTTGTGGATCACATCACGGTCTTCGAAATCGATCGATTCTCAACATATTTTAAAAGAGAAATGTAGTCGTAATATGTTTTAAAGCCAACAACAATTTTGCATGCTCTTTAATGGGCCTGTCTAATTGGAATTGAAACGAAAAGATAAATTCTGAATGGATAAAAATGGAAAACGATTTTGATATATGGCATATTATGTAAGCAATTTTTATACCCTATACTCCTTGTGGCGTTTCTATGGATGTATGCAATACCCAGAAGAAGGACTTTTTTCCACTTTTTTTCATTGGTCTAAGTTTGTCTGTTCATCTCTCTATAATGGCTGACTTGCTTTCCTGTGTTCAGCCTCAAAGTCGGAAATGCATGAATAACTATATTAAACGAAGTGGTGTAGGGTGTTTAATAATGGACTGCGTTGTACTTTAGCGTTTTCAATTGTTCTCGAAAAAGCATTGATCATATCGCCTTAAAATTACACAGTCACATCTCACAATTAAGTTGGCGATAACTGACAGAAGCTGAAGATTCCGACTATGGTGGATAGAGACTTCAAAGAATTCAATAACGAGATCTATAAACCAGCTCAATTTTTCTCGTTTTAGTTTATCATCGATTCTTCATTCATTTTAATTCATTTTTGTTACTTTTATTCAACAAATAAACTTTTCGTTTCTATTATCCCATAATTATTAGTTCAAAGGCGACAATGTTTACCAATGGTTACCGGTACACCATTTTATTCAAAAGAAAAAAAAAAAAACGCGATGATAACCTCCATATATTGATTTATACAAAGGTTTGCTACGTTTCTTTCTTCCTTACAAAAAAAAGTTGGAATATAACTAAAAAAAAAAAAGAAAATATTCATAATTATTGAAGAAATGTTTTAAAATAAATGAAAAATAAATATTGCCATATAAGTAATTGTACAACAAAACTAATAAATATATCCTCAAGACCAGAGCATATTCGTACTCAATCATTTGTATACAAATTCCAAACCAGTGAGAAAATACAAATTCCATACAACTGAAAAAATACAAATTCCACACAACTGAGAATGTTTGAATACGTTTGTTTACAATTCTCGATCGTTTTGCATGAGCTCTGCTGAAATATATATATATAATCTAAGGCGTATATGTGGAAAGCAAAGATAAGGATTTAGCAAAGCTATCCATTTGTCTTGCAAGCTTACAACCACAAAACTTGGTTTAGGGCATTTTCTTTAAGTTAAAGTTAAAAGTCAATTAAATAATGGTTTCATAGACATGAAGGGAATAATGAAAACAGAGGTGTTAAGTAATTTTAACAACAAGCAAGATGATAGCACGTAAAACCAGAGAGATATTAAGATAGTTAGAAGCAATTACATTATATTAACTGATCACAGGATACATCTCAGCGAATTTACGGTTGTTGATTTGCCGAATAGAAGAAGAAGACGAAGAAATTATATATGTTAATAAATAACGAGCATGACAAAGAAAAAAAAGAGAAGTATGTAGAATTTGATAATTGAAAAAGATAATAAAGAGATAGATGTCATTTTGATGGAAGTTAAAGTCGTTTTGGTGGACTGCGTTGCATAGTTTAACAGACATATAACAACGATTAAGCAAATTAGCAAGAAAACAGATCGAATACGAAAAGCTGATTAGTTTCGAACATTTCGTGAAATTGAATTACTTTTATATAAATTCGGTAATAATTTTAATCGCTTTTTTACTGAATGAAAAAAACCTATCTTAAGATTTGTCGTTGTTAACATTGCTTTCGTTTTTAACATCTCTGCTTTTGCGCGGCAACACTTGAGTTTGCTTTTAAAGTATCTGTTTCTTCATGTTAACATTTTCGTTGCGAAGAAATAAACGGAATAAAGCGCAGGCGTTAACAAGAGAAGTGGTTAATCTTTAAATCTTTAAGTTGTTACCCTATGTTTATGTTTTTTCGATAAAGTATCCATAAATTTCAATATGATTTGCACCAAAGCTTTAGTACACTTAAACACAGTCCTTTCTTTTCACCAAAATAGTGGCCTGTATTTTTCTTTTTAAGTTTTGACTTGACTGGTAAGAAGAGATTTTAAAAAACAGTGAGTGAATCCAATTTGGCTTCAAAAAATTTAGATATATAATCTATATAATATATTTAGAAATACAATTTTATTTATCAAGTGTAGGCCACAATATTCATAGGTTCAAATCTCAAGTGCTTCCACATCCATTCTACGATGTTTTTAAAGTTCTGATACTTGATTCGCTAATTGAAGTTTGCTTTCTATATAAGACTCTTCTATTTCTTTCATGGTCATTAAAGATTTCTTATCAGCCTCCTTTTGGGTTTCATGCTGTTGCAATAATTCCTGTAATTTTCGATTTTCTGCATATGATTCTTGAAGTTAAATGAAAATAAAATAGAATTTTGCAATGACCTTATCGTCAATTATAATATGTTTATATAGTGAGTCTTATTAATATTGGGTTTTTTCGTTTGACTAAACGCTTGTTATATCCAATCCTTCTTCTTCTGTTATTCAGCAAATTAACAATCGAAAATTACATTAGGCGACCTTATGCGAATTATTTATAAAGCACGATCAAATTAATAAACTATAATGAACAGCAAGCGTTACATTTAGACTTTAGATATTCTAGCTGTCCACTAAGCAGTGAATTGTATCGATTTATTTTAAAATTTCATCTCTTTAAACTTAAAATAGCATTGCTATGCTATGTAAAATCATCAAAACGAAAAGAACTTCGATCATTCATCGTTCGCAAGAAAATCGATATAGTTTTGGTAAATCTAATAAAAAGGATTTAATAAAAATAAAAACACTTTTAAGCTTAATTCTAATATGCCTATAACGTAGAAACAAATCAAATGAAAGGTTGCCTTCAGTTAGTTATTCAATTCAGCCAAAATGTTCGATATGGTTCCGCTTGACTCCACATTACTCAGAGCAATGCTAGCCAAGTGCGGTTCATAACGCCGTACGCTGCGTTTAGCAGTCGTTGTGTATGTAACTAAATTTCGCAGAATTAAGGCAGCAGTTAGACGAATACTTTTGGTGACGGGACCCTCGTTTTCATCCATGAGTTCCTTCGCATTGACAAATTCAGCTGTATGCCTTTTAATGGCTTGTAAGGCGGAAGGCCCTGTTATGGGGGCTTGAGCCTGGGAATTAGAGGATGAAGAAGATGGCGATGTGGATGAAGAATTTGCGGTTTTTTGACTTTGTTCCATGTTGCGTACGATTGTTACCGGCGGCTTAATAGGATTTATATTATGAATTCCGGTGGCTAAACGTCGTTGTACAGCAGCTCGCAAACTTTCATGGGTTAAATGACGTTCGATTAGATGTGTCATTAGTGCGAAACGCTTGCGTGGTATACCGTCACAAAGTCCGGGACCTACACCCCACTGACAAAATATTTCAGCTACCGGATCCAAATGATCCGGAGCATGTGATGTGCAGACATGATATTGCAAATCATTAATAGATTTGAATTTATATCGCGGACAATTCCGCCAATCACATATATATAACCATTGAGCGTCAGCAGCCGACAACTGGAAAATATAAAAAATGTGCAAATAAATATGCAAGTGAGATAATCATTTTCACTTCAATCTTTATGAGTCACTGAGACATTCTCAGCATGGTCGATGAAATTTTTATAATGGCCGAAAGTAATTTTATTATTGTCGGGGAGATTCTCATCGTGATCGGAAGGAATTTAGTCATGGTTGGAAGGAATTTGATCATTGTCTGGGATATTTGCATTTATTGAAAACAACTCTGTGCTCTCTCTATTCTCAATAAAACGAATATATTTTTTAAAAAGAAATTAAAAAAATTAAAAATTACAAGAAAAAATTTGTGAAACATTTACATAAAACTGAAAGAAGAAAAAAGCCAACCTTACCTGATTTTTTATTAACATAGATTTTATTTGTATACATTTTTATTATTCAGTTAGAATTTTTGCACAGAAATGCGCAGATTTGCTTTCAATAAATGCAAATCCTCGACCATGAAAAATTTCCCCGAAAATGAAAACTTTCCCTTACCTGATTGCTTTGCTGCTGACTTATCGATGTTTGCGTCTGCGGTTGCGGTTGCAGTTGCAGTTGTGGTTGTGGTTGTGCTTGCGGTTGTTGTTGAGGCTTTTGTGTATTATGTGCCGATAGCGCGGCGGCCTGTCCGCCAGTAGTTGTTGGAGCTGGAGTTATGATTGTATTAGACGTCGTATACGTTGTTTGATTGCTACTTGTTGTTGTCATGGCGATAGAGGAAGATGTCTGAACTTTGGGAGTGTTAGGAACCGGTGTACTTCCAGCGTTTGTTGTCGCGGCTACATAAGAGGTAATAACTTTAGATACCTCGTCTTTTCGCTGAATTTCTTGTGGTGAATGAGGCTTTTGCGTTGTGTGATCACTAGGCGCTGTTGTTGTGGCGTTTGGCGTAGCTGGCGCCAAAGGTGGCGGTCCTAGTCCTATATTCGCGCTCGTAGGTAACTTAACTACCGGAAGTGAGGGTTTTGCAACTGCTGTAGATCCTCCCGCTACAGTCGGCCGTTTAACATTTCCAACTACACTGCTTGCAGTAACGGGTACAATTGTTGTTGTTTGTACAATTGCAGCCGATTGGTTCACTGTTTTGCTTTGCGTAATAGTGGTTTGCTCCGGTATCTGAGAATTTAAATGTGTAAAATATAATATATTTACGTTCCTGACAAACTTCATTACGAAAATCACAAACCTTTGGTGCTATTGTCGTTGCTTGCATTACACCTGGTGTTTGTACTAGTGGTACCGAAATTTTCTGCTGTATAATTGAAGGATGCTGCTGTTGTTGTTCGATAACATTCCGTATTTGTTGTTGTACTTGCTGTTGCTGCTGTTGTTGTTGCTGTATGTGCGGTGGTGCAGGTGCTTGTGGTTGTGTGGTGATTATTGTCTGCGAATTCAGCTGGCATTGGTGTGGTGGCGGCTGAGTTTGAGTGATCACTGTTTCTTTAATTTCAATAGCTCGGCCTCCGCCTAATAACACATGCCTCTTTTCAGGCGCAGCGCCAGAAATTATGTGTTGTTGAATAATGGACTGATGTTGCTGCAATTGGGGTATCGCTACCGGCGCGGCATTTGGGGCGGGCCCGGCTTGTAAAATTGATACGGTTTTCCCTATACGCGATATGGTGGTTGGCTGCGGTGGCGGCGGTTGCTGGGGTTGTGCTGGCTGATGCAACTTTATCGTAGCCGGTATTTGGTTTAATTGATTTAGAAGTGATGGAGAAATCTGGCCAGCGGTTATCTGCTGAGGTTGTTGCATTTGTTGTGTAGTTTGTATAATTTGTCGCGGTATGAGATTTGCTGGTTGTCCTGCACCTACTGGCACATGTTGTATATGTGTAGCTGCTCCCGTTTGAGGATTTATAAATATTTGTTGCGGTGTCTGAGGTCTCTGCGTGACAAGCACTTGTTGACCTTGCGACGTAGTCATAATCATTTTCTGACCAGCCCCTGCCGCATTGGTTATTAATTGCTGTTGCGTCGATGGGCCTGACAAAGTTTGCTGCTGCAAAATAATAATAGTTTTTGTACCAGCCGATTGTTGTTGTGGCGTATGAGTAACTAAAACAGTTTGAGTTGGCTGAGGGGGCGGCGGAGCTTGCGTTTGAGGTGTTGCCTGCTGCGCTACTAAGTATGTTTGACCTTGCGGATTCGTGGCAAGCACGTATTGGGTCTGTTGCGGTTGAGTGGCTTGTTGTATAACCTGTTGTATAATTTGGGCAGTTGGTTGATTGGACTCCAGTGGCTTCTGTTGCAAGATCACTGGCACTGTTTGCAGCCCCTGATCGGTTTTTATAGTTGCCATGGCATTAGGCAGTTGTGGTGTTTGCGGTGTATTCGATTGAGATAATTTTATTTGCGATGCTTGATTAGTTTGAAACAATAACTGCCGTTGTACGTTCTGTAGTGTGCTTGCTGGATTCGAAGCTTGCATCTTAGTTGGTAATATAAGTGGCGTTTGCAACGATTGCTGTTCAATGGATAATTGCGGAGATTGCGTGACGGGTGGTATATCATCCAAATCTTCGTCTTCCAAAATAGATGCGGCCATTTCCGCATACAAATTAGCTGCATTCTTTGATGGGGTAACTTGTGTTTCTTCCTTCGTCACATTCACTTCCATGGGCGGTCTTTTGCTGCCAGCTATGATGCTAGCGTCCGATTCATCGAGCTTCCGTTTGCCTTTGCCGCTGCTTAATAAAGGTGAATCGACCATTTTTTTATCAAGAATATCGACAAGCATTTGGTTTGCCAATATAATTGGACGGCCATTCGCATCTTTCGCCACGTTATTGCCACTAAGCGGTGCTAATGGAGGTGGTACTGAGTCTGTTATAGTTTTCTTTTCTACGGTCATCTGAGGATTCAAAGGTTTGATTGTTGTTTGTCCCACTTTTACGGGTGTATTCTGCATGAGTGGATTATTTACCAAAGCACTGATGGCTGTGCTGGCTACTTTAATGGGCTGAGTCATCACAGATGCTTGTGTTCCACTTGTGTTAGTCGCAGAAACACTCGTTGTTGTCATAGATGGAATTGCGGACGTCAGCAAAGTACTCGTAGTTGTACTGATCAACGTAGAGTCCTTTTGCTTTTGCTGCCTTTGATTTACTTTATTGGCTAACAGACTTTTAATGAATGAAGAAGGCGTTTGCGGTGGATTGGCGGTAACTTCCAATGAAGTTTGCGTTGTTTCAGGCGTGTTTATATAACTTTTAGATGCGGCTTCTTGCGGTTCATCAATGTCCATTTTTTCAATCACTTTACTGGCGTCAACAGGATCAGTGTTTGATTGCAGACTAGGCGTTTTCACTATGTTGACTAATGTATCATTAATGTTGCTCGGACCAGGACAGCTAAATTCTTTTGCTGCAGTTTCGATAGATATTGCAGGCGAATCTATTCCCAAGGTGGGTAGGCATGACTCTGGCTTAATTTTCTTTTTAATTTTTCGCAATGTACTCGATATATCTCCTATTTTCGGGGGACTGCAACCTTGTAGGTTTGAAGGGGCAACGGTTTTTCCTTGTAGCGGCAAAGGTTGAGCTCTCATGCGTACAGTTACATAGTGAAGACCGGATAATTCGGTGCCGTCTGCTTTTCTCACCACAACTGGACCAACAGTATTGGTAAATAATAATCGAACTAACCGAGGAAATTGTACGTGATTGACTATGGAATGCTTCCCAGACTTTTGACAATACGCAAGGTACATACGATACAATTCTTGTTGCTCGATATGACTTTCAACATTCGAGGTTCGTTCGAAAGTGGCACCTAACCAAGCCAGAGCGTACTGCTCATCATCTTGTGTACAACTTTGTGGCACTGGCAATCCAGTGCTTTGCTCAATAGTAACGCTGCCGCTGCCAGATCCGCTTGCGTCTGCACTATCCATTTGTTGCTGCTGCTGCTGAGGTGGGGGGGCCATTAATTGCGGTTTTATTTGAACTGGATTTTGGGGGGGATTAAATGTCGGTAGCGGTTGATTTTGAATTGTGGCCACGTTTTGCAAATTGGCAATATTCTGTGCAACCATTGGCAGCATATTGCCTGGTATAGTTTCAATTACTCTCATTAATATGCATCCGTCTGGGCCGTACGATTGAGCTTCAACTGTTATTAATGAAACTAATTGATCTATGATGCCTTTAACGTGCATAATCAAATGACAGCTTTTCGTACCCAATGAAGTTAGCGCATAAATAGTTTCCAAAGTAAAAATTAATAGCATGATGTCATTTAAGGAAAGAAACAATGCGGCGGTTTTGTAGAAATTTAAATTCAAACATTTCAGCACATAATCTTCATTACTGTCCTTTTGGCACAGCTTATACAAAATCTCCAAACAATTTATTATTACAGCGCGATCTGCACTTTCTACGCCGTCGCACAAAGTAGCCATAAAGCTACGGGACAAATCATCCAATGTTGGATCATATAACTCTAACTCGGTAGCAATATTTCCAGCGATCTCTAATGCCTGTATATGAATATTGCTCCAACGAATATTACTACTCATTACCAGGAAGCGCAAGAATGCTCGGTTTTTCACAAAAACGGTAACATTCTCTTCAAAAAAACTTAGATTTCGGAGAATTGATATAACTTGCAAAACACGCTGTCCGATATAATCTTGGGTGCCCAGACCTCTGCCCAAATTAAAAAAACTTGATTCCATACATTCGTTTTGAAATGCTTTTAAATCTGTTTTATGGGCTTCAACGTCGTCGACGTCGTCGACCGGCGTAGTATCTCGTACAGCTTGTTCATCTGTGTACAGGTCGAGTATTTGAGGACGCCCGTGTAAAAGATCTTGCCAGAAAGCATGTAAAGAATGCCGACGTACTCCACAGTATACATGCTCAAAAAGCTTGCGGGTAGAGTAGTCCGAAAAGATGCCGGTGTGTGCTAACAGTCCATCTAGCAATTTGGGATATTCATTCAAACGCAAAGTGTGTTTACTTTCGTTCGCCATAAGAGTACACGTGTTAATAGCAAAATCTTGTTCATTCGGTAAAGGAGACAAAAGAGATAACATGAGTTTCTCATAAGGGGATGCTTTATATAAATCAGTAGACAATTTAAATTGTCTTCGCCTTTCTGTGCTTACAATATGCTGGCGGTAGTTATAAGTCATAGACACATTATTGATATTGGACACATTTGCAGAACCATGCAAACTTGATGGATAACGTGGTCGGCCGCCCCTTCCTATCAGTTCAGATAAATCCGACGATTCCAATGTGTCAATTTTATCCGGATCTTCTCCAAAAAAATTTTGCCGCTCATATTTTTCCAAAATACGCCGATAAATATACTTTAGAGCAGCAGTTCCATTAACGCATTTTTCCTTTAAACCTAATTCGGGCAAGATTTCTTCCCATTCGTCTCTCATGTTTACCTTCTGAAAGCCGCCACGTTCGGTAACCTCACAGTAAAGAAGATGTAAATTTACTTCCCGACCGCTAATTTTTGGCATTTGAACAGGAGTATTCCGTTTCTCATGGAATTGCTGCAAATCCTTGTAAAATTCTTCTGGAGGCTTGGCAGACAATTTACCTTTACCGGATCCGAGTTGACTGTCGGCTCTTTCAATCTTTTCTTCATTTTTTCTCGCTCTTAATGGGGTGGCATTGTTTGTGGCACTTTCAACTGCGCTTACACCGCATTCAGCCTCATTTCCAAGAATTTTCGCAGCTTCAGTTAACAACATGTTACGCACTTAATAATTTTTTAGATGGTTTTTTATTATTTTTGTCTATTAACTTTCATTTTTGTATTAAAAATCGCGAAAAGCGTGAAAATGCCGCCTATGAAAAATATGTTCCTGACTTGCCAACTTGGTACATGAGTAAAATAAACAAAATATTGGTAACACTACTGTCGAAAACAAATGCTTGCTTTTATTAAATGCGTTGCGAATTGATAATTGATAACACTTTCTTAATTAATTAGGCAATATTTTTTTTAAACTTAGCTAACAAGAAAATCTTATTTGTTAAAATTGTTGAATTTGCAAACATTTAATATAACGCTTACCACATTTTTTGAGGAAAAATTGTTGTTGTGGCAACTCTTAAACCTCTTTTTTTTTTTCTTCTTTTTATATTAAGCAAATATTTACGTTAATGTGTTTTTATGCATTATTGTGCAAGAAATCTTTATTTCATTAAAATCAAAAATCGGAGAATTAATAAGAACTCACTTTAAGATCAAGAATGGTTCTACGAGCCTGCGCTTATAAAGATTGCGAAAACTACATTCTAGATGGTGCCCGAAGTGGCAAATTTACATTGTTTCAATTCCCTAAAAATCCGGAAAGATTTCAGAGATGGCTAGAGTTGGGTCAAGCTCCGACAAATTTGCCAAATTCCTCATATCAATATTGTTCTGACCATTTCGATAGTATATATTTCTCGCAGAGTGGTCGCCGGATTGCACTGGTGGGATTAGCTGAACCATTTCCTTACGTTAAGGCGACTCTCCCCGATATTAATACAATTAATATTACAAATGATCTTCAATTTTATGAGGATAACGCTGGCGCACTCGTTGGTTACGAATTAACAGAAGATTGTCACGGTAACGATCAGGAGCAAGATATAGTTGTCTCCACTGTACAAGAAGATGAAGATGATGGCATTATGAAAGTAAACGAAACTAAAAGAGATAATAACTTTTCGGGTTAGTATATACTTAAATTAAAATTCAATAATATTGTACAATTTTCACTATAGGTACTAAAAGAAAACTTTTAAATGAAAGTAATATACGTGAACATAAAAAAAAACTTTCGAAAACATATGCAGTTTCAGTGGAAGACTTTGTAGGAACAGCGGCTGATATTTCAGATTCAGATGAGCATTTAGAAAACGATATTTCAAGCGAAATATCTGAAATTGATGCAGCCTCTTTGATCGACAATAAAGCCGCCGTGACTACATTTATTTATAAAGGAGAAGAATACGTTCAAATGTCTAAAGAGTACTATGTCAAGGAAAAAATGGAATTGCTAAAGCGGTTACATAAAATGAAAACTGCTATTAGATCGATTAAAGGGATATTAAGAGCTACTGAAACTTAATGTAGCCTATACACGAATTGTTTGCATATCTTTTTTTTAAAAAAAGAAAAGCAAATTTTATTTTTTATAAACACAAACTATAGTCATCGCTTTGGTTTTATTAAAATGTATACCTTCCGAATTAAAGGCTAATAATAAACGCATGAAATCATCCAAATCCATTAAACGTGCTCTTGTATTCGCCATATTGAGCTACTCCAATATATTTATTGCTTTTGCCGGCATGTCAAAATTTCCTTCAATGGGCTGAAATTTAAAGTCCTCAGATCATGTTTCCGCCATGTTTCCTGTTGTACATGCCACCTTGCTTACCTTATTCCTTTGCGATAAGTGGCCGCTAGAGTTTTATCCTTACGCCGAAAGACTACGCGTGTTAAACCATCCCATTCTGTAAAATTTACTGGTGGCGGTGAATTCTTTGGTTCCAAACTACGTTTTCTTACAAGCATGATTTGGGAAGACTTTCGCATTATCCAGTATGCAGATCACGTAGCCTAAAAAAGGAAACAAAAGTATCAAGTAAGCATCCAGGCGCAGACTAAATAGCAAAAATTAGTACCCATGTCCGAAGAAGTCAAAACGTTTGCAACGCCCAGAAGGAAGCTTAAGAGAGTCTACAATACAAAGTCTGATCAGCATCAAATTTTAAATTTATTATCACACAAAAATGCGGTTGACGTAAGGAAAATCAAACTCACATTTGCAATTTGTTCCATTTTCCATATAATAAATAAATGTAATAAATGTAAATAAATAAATGTAATTTTAATAAATTGTTTATTTTAAACATTTTTTTGTCGAATAAAATTATCAAATATAAAAATTGTTCATTATATATCATAGCAGCGATTAGGGTTTCCTTCTTTAAGATTTCAGCAAAAGCAAATCATATGATTATTCGAGTTGATGTAGCACAAGCAAGTATCATCATTACTTACGATGTTTCAATCACGAAAATAAACGAAATGTGGTGAGATTTTATTTTCACGATTATTGCTATTTATTGGGGGAAATACCAGTAGAAATAGATTGTGGAGAAGTACCGGAAGATGTGATTTGTGAGGAAATACCAGTAGTAGAAGAGGTACAGATGGACACAGATTACGAAGTTTTTTTAGGGTTTGAGGAAATGGACAAGAGATTTTCACAGGAGAAAGTGACAGGGGAACAAACGGAGGGACAGACAAATGAACAACCATTTAGCATAGAAAGCTCCGATATTATAGATTTTAGTTACAATGTAAATAGATACATTAACGATATAGAGGACGAGGAACCGACAACGTCTGCGAAGACAGCACGGAGGCGGACGGATCGACGCCTTGAACCCGCCGTAAACCCAGATGAAGGCCAGGGAGTAGAAGAAGCTAAGAGTGGTGCCAGACATTGAGGCACTGCGAGTACAACTACACTTCGATGAAGTGTACACCGACCAAACATTAGCATATTCTAGATCCGAAGATGGGCTGTATGAACGCGAATATGTCCTAAACCAAAAATTAACGCAGACGGAGGATTACCGGACGGTAATTGTCTTCGGAATGCGCAGCTTGTTGACGGCGTTCAACATGATACTCAGCGCCTATCCTATCACCCGCTACAGAATTTTGTGGCAAGGGTTTAACGTGGGTTCCTGCCTGAAAGGTTTAACCCCACGGTGGCCCAAGCCACTTTTAAGCGTACTACGCCCTCTGGCGAGTTAGACAATCACCCGCTACAGAGGGAATCTAGAACTATTAGAGGAAAATTTAAGAATCGCAGAGGAGATCGGGCTCGATGTAAAAGCGGTGGTCTGCGAAAGGAGCCACCAAAATCGCAAGGCAATAAAGATTTCCGCAAGCAATTATACAGCCGTACACATGTATGACTATATAAACATCCTGGATGCAAAGTAGCTGCGCGGAACGCGCCCATCTGGGAACACCGGAAGAGGAGAGGCGCCAACTTGTTAATCACCTCACCCAGAAATATGGCAGAAATAGCCCAATTATTCACACCAGCAATGCCAGCAATGTTGAAAATAGCAATTGAACGCGGAATCATTGGTAGTGCCATAGAAGTTCGGAGGTATGAACTTTTCGCCACTATAACAAAATCCAACTCAATTTTTCACAGCGGCAAAATTAACAGCACCAATAGGCAGGCCCAAAAAACGAAGCTAGAAGAAGTTAGAGAACACCTCAATACCCCTCTTGAGTTCGACCTGCTAGCGGGCGAAACCGTGCAAACAAAGGATAGATACATGAAATTAATGGATGGGCTGCTGGAAGCTTACCCTGGCATAACTATTCAGTCGTACAGGGTAAGCCAACTCTTACTGGAACGTTTCTTCTGCAAGAAGGTGCCAAACAAGAAAAAACGTACCAGACCGGCGACGCAAATAATGAAGTTGATCAACCGCATAATTAAATTACAAATACAATTTTGGGGCAGCGGACAATCTACCACCGATGATTACCATCTTATGTGTTTAATTGTTTATATGATTGTTGTTCTTCTTTGTAAATTTTTTGGTGGAATCACTGTTCTTATTAAACAATTTTGCTTATGTCATACTTTATCAAACGTTTGCAAAATGGTTTCTGGCTAAAAAACCGTTAGTTGGCTGTTTCTTTTACACCAAAATAAAATAAGAAAAATAACAATGTATGGAGGACGTGCACAGAGTTGCTTGTAATAAATAAGAAAAATAGTCAAAAATGGCAACGCATTCGTCATGAGCTCTGTTAAATGGCAAAGAAGTCGTGGAGTTCGCTGTTAAAATAACGATAACGCTATTGTGGAAGTCGGACGCTTAATTTACCGTAATGCTATTCTCCCTCTCAAGTTAATCTCTCTATTGCGCTCATTCTCTTTTTCTTACTATTGCCATCTTTCTTTTGACTTCTTTTGACAACTAACTCGAACTCTTCGACAATTATATAAAAATCAAAATCATATCAAATTTTCAAAATAATGGGAAAAATACGAGCGCCATCAAGAGAGAAACCATACAAGCTTCTCGAGCTCGTCTAAGAAGAGAAACGAATGCTGAGTTAGGTCGATACATTTCGATGTGGATGCAAATTTGTTGCAAAAGACAAGATTAGACAGGATATTAAGCCACAAATCTATTAGTAATATTAAAATTTGGCATAAGGATTTATTTCATTTAGGCTTGTAATAAGTATTAATCGCTTATCTCATATATTTCAGGTGAAAGTTGGAAGAGTTCTTGTTTTTGCGTATCGAAAATATCAAAATCACTTTCACTTTCGCTATTCCAATCATCAAATTTGTCATCTTTTTCAGCTTCGGTCCAACCTTTGCGTTGTTTGTGTTGTAGTAGGTCAATCCACAAAAATTTGGTGTTACATAAAGGGCATTCCCCGATAATAGGTATATAATGTCCGCGCTGATTGTTGTCCGAGGAAAGGATATGATTTGATAGGCAAATTATGTGACAGGTAAGTCTGCACGTATTGTTTAAACAACCAACAGATCGCTCGACGTCTTTAATTTGTTGCATACATAAATGACATTCAGGACATTCAGGAGCCCAAAGAGGTTTATGCAAAGCTCGTTCCTTGTCTTTTTTTCCGACATCCTTTTCTAAAATAACATTCCCTCTAACAATTTGCATATGCTTCGGAGGCTTAAATAAAGACTAAAATAATACAAACTTTACAATGTAGGTAAGCAATTTGACTAGATTTCTTTTACAAGTACCTCGAAATCGCATGTGTAATTAATTTCTAGCCAATGAATAACTAGAGCTAGTCGCTGCCAGGGACCTATATTTATCATCCGATCTAATATACGAATGTTGTGTTGAAAATGGGACTCTTTGGGTAATTTGCGTTTCAGTTCGGGGAAGTTTTTAAGTCGTGTTGACAACGAGGGTTGCTGCCAAGCCCACTCAAACTACATTTTGCGATTTTGAGTTTAAATTTTTACGAAATTTAATCATTTTGACATATCGAACCTGTAAAGCTGCTATGTTATTTGGAAAACCATGCACGATCAAAACCATTTTCCACGGTCCTTTATTACTAGTTTTTTTAGCGCCTCCGAAATCTTTCCCCTTATTATGTTGTCGAATACGGCGGCTGGGATTGACTGTAAACCCTATATAACATTTACCCTTATAACGTCTGTCCAAACTTTCGCTGCGCAGCAAGTAAACACCATAAAAGCGATTCTTAATTCGCGTATATTCATTGATGGCTAAAGAATTCATTATAGTTCAAGTGGACTGAAAAAAAAAAACAAAAATGTCAATTTTTTATTTGGCTGCGAGTTACGGTCTAAAAAATCAAGATAGAAGAGATATTAATGACTTCTTGGATATATTAAACGACGAAATTTATATTAGATTTAAAGCAAAACCCTCGAAATCTTATTCTAAACAGTCAATTGAAAATATATTACTATCTTATATTAAAATCTTTTATTTTAAATTAAAGTAATATATAAACGTGTTTCGATGATCCTTAGGACAAAATCGACAAAACTACACAAATACAAGAACATAACAAAAAAGGCAATTATTGCATTTTCTGCATTAAGGGACCTCCGACGCCAAGATTCACCGAATTAGTTCCGTTCATTTGCTGAGACTGTTGCTGGGAACCAACTAATTGGGCCTGCTGAGTATTAACCCCGGTATTGCCATTCTGAATGTTAACGCCTGCTGCTGAGTTTGAACCAGGTTGTTGGGCGGCCATTTGTGGTTGCTGTGCTTCATTTATTTCGGTACCACAAGTTGCTGCGTTCAGTTGTGTGTTATTCACAGAATTGAACATTTTAATACGTTTTCGTGTGTAATGTTGCCACTGCAATATGGCCTGATCATCGATAAATTTACAGCACTGGGAGTTAACAATTTCTCGGCGAAAATGTTCGTATTGCAAAAGATCAAGAAAGTATAGACACATTGGGTACATTAAGTATTTAGCATATTCAGGTTCCTTCCAATATTGCAGATATTTGAGGTAGTTAATAAAAGCTTGATCTTTAAAATAGCCACGTTGGGCAAGAACTGAAAGCCGATTAGATCAGTAAGAAATGCTTTTAAATTTTTTTTTATTCTTGTTGGCTTCGATAAACTTACAATTTAGATAGTTGGGATTTGCTAGACATTGCACGAATTCCAATTCTACTTGCCATCGTAATTTCTGCTGCTCCTCCGATTCTATGGCAGCTATTGAAGTAAGAAATATTTATATAAATCGTTTTGCTATGATATCTTCCAAATTATATTTTGTTTCATATTGTTATCTGAAGGTTTTAGTGTTAAGCAAGCAGGTTGAAAACTAAAAATAATAACTAAAAACTCTTTGTTAAAAAAGCACTTGATTTCTGGAGTTAATCTTTAGCATCGTTTTTCGTTTTGTTTAGTAATCCAAAGCAAGAAAATTACAAAAATAAACTAAAAGTAAATAAAGAAATGAATGAAGTGTACAAAATACTTACTCTTACCACCCTTTCCATACATTTTAGCCATATTGCATGGAAGGGTTTGCTTTCGTGATTTCAGTTTGCTTGTTGTTTTGTAAAGCACAAATCGAATAAATATAAAATGATTGATTTTTTTTTAATCTCCCGTATTTTAATGTGATTGTCGTTATTTTCCTTCAGGATTTTTGTACAATGGTAGTGGTGTTTTGAACTAAAAAAACTTTTTTTACACTTGATTGTAACACAAAAATTGAAAAGAGTAAATGAACATTTTAAAAAACGTAAACAAATCTACACAAAAATATAAAAAAAGGAAGAATTAAAGAATTTTTAGAGTATATTTTGTCGGAGAGGGCAGTTGCAGCGTTGTGCAAAATTTTTTTAAGGCAAACGAAAAATTGAACAAATTGTTCTGGTTACATTATTTTAATACAAACCGTACCGTAGTTATTCATCAGCTTTTCCAATGATCAGTTATGTTTATTTTTTTCTTTGGAACAACACTTTAATATTATGCACACGAAAAATTGTTTCAGAAATTAATTCTTCTTCTTACTGCATGAAAAAGCACTGGAAGTCGTTAACAGCGAAGTCAGAGTAAGTGCTTGCAATTGGCAATACTGTCTGTCCAAAAAAGAAGTAATCATTGTAATTGGCAAATTATTTTGGAAGACGCAAAAAGTATGAGCTTTTCGATGCGCTGGTTTTTGGCTAGATTCCATAGTCCGAAAAAAGTAAAATTTGCGCTTATTAATAAATTTTATTTTATATTATATATTGCAACAATGAATTGTAATTTGAGCTCTAACCCTTCTTTGGAAGGAATTTTACGTGCATCTGCAACCTCTAATTCCTCTAAATTTCTATGACTTTAACATATATGTTGTGAAATTTTCTGTCTCATTAACAGAATTGAAGTGTTGCTATTTATTGAAAGCAACTCTGTGCTGTCTCCATTCTCCCCCATTGTACTTTTGATGACATAAAGGCTAAAAATTAGAAGAAGAAGTTTGTGAAACATTTACATAAAACTAAAATAAAAACAAAAAATTAAAAAAAAAATTTAATGCATTAAAAATTATTATTGCATTCAATAAGTTAAATAAGTATAACATTAATGCAGCTAACGTAATGGCAGCGGAGGACTCAGTTTCTTTGCTCTCTGAAATATCTGATATTATGCGCAGCTTCGGTGATAGCGATAAGCCGCGTTTGGAAAGTGTGAAATTGGTGGAGCATATTCTGCAGCAACAGTTGAGAGGAATGTTCAATGAGGCGTCGCTTGTGGCAATGAGACGTAAAAACAATCCATGTCCTTCCCAAGCAGATTTCGAATTTTTGATGCGTAATCATCCAGTGAAAATTGCCCGTATGCGTAAACATCTCAAGGATATGCGAATTTTGAAGAAATTTCTTAGCATTCGCACTGGGAGGTGCTCTTTAACATATTTTCTTAATCGTTTTTAACATATGTTTGTATTCGTTTTTATTGAACAGACAAGACTTTATGGAAGATTTAGATCAGCAAGATTCGGACGATGAGCTAGCTATAGAAGTACCTGAACTATTCGATGAAGAGCGGACTCGTCGCCTATTTCGTGCTGATCGTATATCGCAAATATTAAGTGGCCAACAATATTTAGAGTTCAACGAGGCGCGCAAGACATCATTTTATTGCCGACATGGCGAGAAAATTAAAAATAAATTCAGGCGCTTTTTAGACTTGCCAGCAGATTTAAGAATACCAACCACTACCATGAATATTTTGGCTTATTTTGCCCACGAGACCATAGCTGTCATAGTCGATTATGCAATATTAACACGTTTAAATTCAGCAAATCGTATCACAGAGCCGTTTAGTAGGGTCACTTCGACAGGAGCTTCACCCGCAATGCTGCACATCTGTCCGGAAGTTACGCAAGGTCGTGGCAGCGAAGTTGTTAAACCGATTAGTGTCCAAGAAATACACGAAGGTATAAGACGATTCCGTCAAATGACTAACAAAAAGGTGGGTTTCTATCGCAGCTCGTGTGATACAGATTTCAAACGTTCCTTTTTAGCTTTATAAGTTATAAATTCGTTTAGCGGGATATATTTCATACTGACCCCTTTGTAGAGCTTCATAAGAATAAAGTAAACTTGCTTCTTAAGGTAACAGTCCGCAAAATTTTATTTAGTAAACTGCTCGGTCTATTATTCATATCATCATTCATTTGTCAAATTTTAAGAGTTATGATCGCATTTAGCCACAAGCACAGCCTTCTGATGCATTTTTGTTAGTTCATGCTGTTTCATGTGATGTTGTAAGCGGAAATCCTTATTGCAATAATTGCAACGATACAATTTAATCTCGGCATGGATGAGTTTGTGTTTTTTCAGCGTATGAGCATAACAAAAAGCCTTGCCACATATATCGCATACATATGGCTTGTGGCCTTTATGAACTCTGCAACAAGAAAACGTCGTCTTTATTTCTTTACATCAATGCGAAATACAAACTTACGCCTCATGAGCTTTGCGTACACTTTCATAGTAAAACGTCCGCGAACAAAAATCACACTTTAAAGGTTTACCTCCGCTATGAGAATACATATGTTTGCGAAGTAATTCACGCATATGAAATTTTTTATCACATAATCTTAAAAACGCAAATAATTAATAATTGACTAATACGTAGAGCAATTTTACTTACTCGCAGGCGTATTTTAATTCTTTGTCGTGACGTTGGCGATGCTCCATCATGCGTCCCCGTTTTGCGTACACATTTCCACAAACATCACATATATGACCAGCATTCTCTTTCTTCAGTCTTCCTTTGGTTTTTTGGTTTGATTGATTATCCCTTTCGCCTAATACTTTTATGGTATAAATATCTGGATCTGTGTTCGATTTGAATGCATTTTCCGGAGAGATGATTTCATCATTGTCGTTATTACTACTAGTACTTCGCAATGTTCTATCGTTTGAAGATGCCTTTTCCATTTCGAAATCTTCAGACTCTAAAATTTCTTCATCTTCCTGACTACCGTCCTTGCCGTCATAAATCGTCTCCTCTTCATAGATTTCTTCATCGTTATTCTCCTCGGTATCTGCTTCATCTTCTGTATGTGTGCTCTCTGTTGATTTTACTTCGTCAATTAATTCATTGCCATCATCACTGTCAAGTATTTGTATATCAACTAAACTGTCGTCTAAAATGTCCACTTGTAGTTGTTGCATTTCGATGAAATCGTCAAACTCCTCCTTGATCAATAACATATTATGTTCGTCTTCTTTAACGCTGCACTCTTTACTGCCTGATAAATTACTCAGATATAATTCAATAATTCTTTGAGTTTTTAAAGCTTTGACACGAAATTGAAATGCCATCGTTAAGGATAATTCACAATTTTTACAAATATTTTTAGGCAATATCGGGGTTTCATCTATCTGCACAGAAAATGTGGAATTTTTTATATATGGAATACAATGTTACGGAAAGCCAGGAAATTACCTGTTCTAAGCAAATGCCTGTAATTTTTTCTAACATTTCATTCGGTGCCTCCTCATCTTCATCCGAGGGCTTGTAAAGGGAGCGCAGTTTTTTGCTTTTCGTTAAGCAGACACGACAACTATCGGTTACAATCTCGTATCTCATTTTTATTTGGTCTCAATTTGTTTTAAAAACGTTCGTTTATTAACTTTTTTAAAAAATTGCACAAACGCTTTTCGAACAGTAATTTTCTTGTTTACATTTGACTTTCACTTTGACGATCATATGTTTCGACTCGCAGAGTTGCATAAGACGATTTATTTTTTTGCTGGAGCAAATCAAAGATAACGAGTTATTGCGCGTTCACCTAAAGTCGAAGAACATAGGAAGCAAAAATTGTTTCCATATAAATAAAAGCCGAATGGACAGACGGATAAACAGACAAACTTGCATTGATTTAGAAAATCATCTCGAATTGATCGTTTTTAATAAATCATAGGTCTATTTTAACACATAAACCATACTACCGTTACAGGTTTTTCGTTTAAATTCTAAGCGCTTATTTATTAAAACGATTAAATTTTACGAGAGCGAGAACGTATTCCCTGCGTTGATTACGACGTCTTCTTCTTTATGCATTCAACCGTAATTTTATCTTGCAGAATGAAAAGATTTTGAAACTCATTATTTTTGTTTATATCTTGTTTTTTTGTTGTAAAAGTAGTAGCGTGTGGATTTGTTGTTGGGATTTGTTATTTTTTTATTTATTTTTTTTGTTTGTATTTGATATGGATTGGACCTTTTAACTTAAATTTAGATCCATAATCCAGAAACTTTATAGAAATCCATTGATGATATTCAAAAATTTCACATGATGATGAAATATTGATGCTTTTTTACTAAGATTTTTTTAATTTTTTGCTTCCTAGGTTATGTTTGACTCTTTTCTTTATTTCTTTATTTCAATTAAGTAACACGCTGAAGCTGGTTGTGTACACCCCAATGACAGCATGAAGACTGATTTGGGATTTGTTAAACCAGTAGTGTGCGTGTAGTCGTCGCAATTTCTAATTTTTGTTTACATTTGTCATGCACGTGCTACTGTTAACATTTCAAAAATAAGACCATATGTGATTGTTGTTGCAAATTCTAATTTTTGTTTACATATGCCATATGTAGTTGGTGTTTAAAATTTTGGTGCCGTATGTGATTGCTGGTGTACAAGTAAAGCCATGTATTTTCTTCTTGGAGAAAACCTTTCGCAATTTGTTCGTCAATTATTTATTTATTTACTTATTTTTATTGTTGTGAATTTGTAATTTATTTGTCTCCTTTTTTAATTAAATTTGGATTTCAATATATAAATTTACATTACATTTATACATTTTGATTAATATTCATTGTTTCATTTCATTGATTAAAGTTTTAACTTTAACGCAAACAAATCTATAAAGGCATAGCAGCTTTTTGGAATTAATCTCTCAAACGCCAAATAAGAAGTTTCAAATGCAACTTTTAAATGCAAATTATTTGCAAGTCACGTAATGCGGCCTAAGAGGGAAATTGCCGTAATTGTTAATAACTTTATTAATTGCTTTCAAGAAATCGCTTTTATTGGTTACTTTGCGTCTATGGCGCCTATCGCAAACAGATCGTGTTTCAGTTCCATTTGAATTGGGACGTATCCGCGTTAACAATTCAATACTTTGTGGACGTAGGGCGACCGTACATCCTTCCAAATCCTGTAAACCAAACTTCACTTTGCGATCTCATCGAGGCCGGTTTTGTAGCCATTAACCCCCGGAAAGGTGTGAAAAATCTTCGTAATCTGTGTCCAACTGTACTTCTTCTTGTACTGGTATTTCCCCAAAAACCATTTCTATCGGTACTTCTCCACAGTCGACTTCTACTGGTATTTCCCCGTACGCTAAGAGTTGTTTAGTAATTCTAGCAACAGCACGTTCCAAATCTAATTTATGCGCGTACACACATACACGCCCTTACCGGTGTAACATGGCTCCGATTAATATTTTTCAATTTTATCCTAACATCTTCTATTGTTCTAAGTGTCCCTTTATTTTTGTCAGTACCTTAGCTACCTTACTGCCATGTTCCTTCCATTCTAATATCTAATAATATATTAAATAATGTATATAATAATTACTCTCAAATTTAACCAAATTTATAGTCGTTTTTTCAAGGCAACAGGAGGGTAAGTAAGCGTATACAATTCTCAATAATACGAAAAATGTGAGAATAAGCGTCTGAATTTGTTTACAAAACAGACTTACTCTTTGAATTATTCTCAATTGTAAACAAATACAAACTGACTTGTACAATTATTCTCATTTGTAAACAAATACAGACGCTTACTCTCAAATGTTACCATATTATTTTTGAATTACTCTCAGATGCCATTTTACTTACTGGACTGCAAACTTAACAGTAAACTAACATGAACATACATATATAGTTGATATACTTTAAGCACAGTTTTACACACACAGAACGGAAGTAATAATTTTATAACATATTTTTGAACAATTTTTAATTACGATTTAAATGATGCCGAGGAGTCAGTAATATAAACACAGTATACATTGTAGTAACTATTTTGTTGCATGTTGCGTTTTGCTGCTTTCGTGAAAATAATGTCCGAACGACAGTATGTACAAAGGCATAGACGCAGGTTGGCGGAAAGAGACAAAGACAAAAGTCTATACATTTTAATTCTGCATTCATTTTTGTGTTGTAATACAAGAAAAGCTTAGTGTAATTCATCCCAACGCGAAACAAAGCAAACGTGACTTGCAGGCATGAAGGTACTCGCACCAAAGAACGAGGAAAAATGTATTTATCGGTCGCGGTCACCATTAAATACTCTACATCATTTCGTTGAATACAGTTGCGTACATAACGACTTTGCAAGATAGGGCGTTATATGGGAAGTGCTCGGATCCGAACAGTTTTTAATAGCGTTCGTCCTTGAACCAAAAAACGTCGATGCAGAAAATTCCATAAAAATTCCTCGGAAATTACGACCTGCATGTTGAATACAAAAAGTACAATGACGTACATCAGACGGACAGACGAATAAGTGAACAGAAAAGCTTGGATCGATATAAAAGTTAGGTACGTTTCAAGGCTTTATGATTGTATTATATAGTACCTCACAAACTAGGATTTCTGTTTAATTTTATTAATAAATATCGTCGAAAATTTTGATTTTCGAAGGAAGACTTTTTAAGCAGAGTTGATACGCCGCTGATACGATGGTAACAAATTATCATAATTTTCTTTGTATTTATTTTCATTAAAAATTTTTTCCAATATATATTCCACTTATACTGATTTCAATACATACAAATGGTCCACTTCATGCTCATATCAATCGTAAATGTTATGAAAGAAGAATGTTTTTTTTTTATTTATTAAGTTTCCATTAAAACAAAATTTAACAATAATACTAGAAATCAATCCAAGTTGAAAATCAAGAGCTTGACTTGTGTACGTTTTGCTTTAAGCAACGGAAAAGGCCGGAAATGGTGAAAGCGTTCACAAAATGAAGAACATTTTAAATAATCTCGCTATAGAGCAAAGTGTATAAGTGAATAAAATTAATGCAAGACTTACACACATGTAGGCAAATCGCTTAATTTGAAAAATTTATCGATACAAGGATAAGTAGTTTTTGCATTGAAATTTTAAACCAGAGTGTTGTCACCTTTTCATTAATAGATTTCGTGGCTTACATGAATTTGGAGTTTTTTGTAATGTGTTTGCACTCTAAAGTGTTCTTGCCTCCTTCTCGCATAACCTAATGGATAAAAAATTCTTGATAAGCGTAGAGAGTTGCTAAGCACGACCTTAAGGATTATTATTATCTTGGGATCTTTTCTCCATGTTCATGTTCAAACATAGCTCCACCGCCATATTCTGTTTATACTCGAAAATGTCAGAGTACTTATGGGCATGCATATCTTAACTGCAAATCGTTGCAATTCGTTTGGTTTTTATTCATCGTACCTAGGAATACATATCCAAAGCTGGGAGAATTGAAAGCAAACTGTCCTCGACTTTTACTCGCATATTTTTCTGATTCAGTTTCGCGAAACGGCTTGCAAATGTTGCAGTGGTATATAAACACTATTACATTCCAGTGATTTTTTTTTTCAAAATGTTGTCGCGCAGGCACGTGGAGAATGTTCACCATATACGCTACAAAGTTGCGCTGACATACAAATGGACTGATGGACAGACTAACATGTTGAGATGCATTACGAGCTTTACAATTCGTTCAGCGTCGTTTGCAGAGCTTTATATTGAACCAATTATCCTTAATATCTAAACTAACTCGCACTTATCTTCCCATCTTGATATGATTCGAAAATTAACTGATGTTCTTGACGGCTAGCGGTTGGCAAGGTTTCGCACATTTTCAATAGCTACGGTGGGTTCACTTGCAACTCGGATCAGTACCGGCTGTAGATGACCGTCTGCATGCATTCTTTTCTTTTTCTTTTTCTTTATCGTTTTCATTTTCTATGTCTCCTCTCTTATTTATTTATACATGCATTTTAATTATTTACTCCTCTGTACATGTATTTGTATTAGTTTTTCATAATGATTAGCATTAAGATTTACTTCTAAGAGTTAATTGAGTTCGGCTGTTAACTTTTTTTTTATCAAAGTTTGTGTGTGTGTGTGTGTGTGTAAATGGATAAATAAATAAATGGCCGTTTGTCTATGCGTCCGTTTGATTGGTGGTAGGTTAACGATGCCAGTCAATTGACTAAACCAAGTGAATTAATTCAAAATATAAATGCATCTCTATGGTGGATATTAATAACAATTCTAATTGATCATTGTTCCTTCATGGGTCGGTCATATTAAGAGAGCCGAATTTGTTAACTGTCAACATTAATGAGTTGACAGTTAACGGCTATAAATTGTTGTTAACTTGTTTTTTTCGGATAAGGACTGTTAATTAATTGAAATCATTTTCAATTGCCCTATGGGTATTTATGGCATACGCTGCATGGATAAACTGTTATTATAAAGGGTACGAGAAAAAACAGTAATGGATGGAAGGAAACGCGTAGGTTGTTCATTAATAGCTATTGTCGTCAATGAAGAAATAAAAAGGAAAGGCGGTTTATTAGTCACCTAATTGTGGAAAATTTTAAATCCTTTTGAAAAAAAGTTCATCTTTAGATGAACTGACTGACTGACTAAGAAATTCTAAAAAAAAACATTTTAAATAGAGTTTGGACTGCATTTACTTTGATAAGATATTAGATATTAATCATTTTTCACGACTTTTCTATCACCGAAGAATATTGGTATGTTAATTTTGTTAAGCAGCTTGCGACATTTAGAGAGAAATCTCAGAGACCCTATAAATTGTATATGCCCTTGATCAATATTAAATTGTGCATCATTTTAGATATATCTCTTCTTCCATTTGCTCGTTCGTGCATGTATCTGCAGTAAATATTCCCTCGGTTAGTTAGCGAGAAAGTTAGTTACTTTAACAACTCAGCCTTTTTAGCCTGCTTTCGTAGCGACTGAGTAATCTTATGAGCTGTTTACACGAATAAAAAGTGTGGATAGTGTGGATCGTTCCAACAAAATGCACATAATTGGCGAAAGTACTACATATTTATATATGTAAGGTTTGCATAGCTTATATATTTTTTTCACCAGTTTGGTCAGATGCCTTGGCTATGCAACTAAAACGAAGTCTCTCTCTTGTCTTTGATTAAAAAATTGATTTATTGTCGCTTACGTAGACATGATACGCAGGAGATGGATGCGTTGCGCATGAAAATTTGAAACAATTGATACCGAGAAAATACACAAAGCCAACAGTAAATCTGTAAGTGATAAAACCGTTATTCAAGTGCAAAATTTATTCAAAATAACGAGAGTCCTTTGAAACTTACATTGTAAGCCATACAAAAACTCAAATGAAAGAGAGAAGCACTTGTAGAATATATAGAAAATAATGCGTGGGTAGGTGGAATTCGAAAGGAAAAACAGATGTATAATGTATAGAAAATAAGTCATGGTATTTACGTTCGAACTCTTTCTTTACAATCAAGATTATGTTATACGCTTTAACGTAGGGAAAAACAACAATCAATGTATTATCAAGCAGAAATATCGAATTAAATCTGGAAGATGTGTAAAATTAACGAAACGGTTAGTCAGATAAATTGTGATCTCGACGAGGCACTGAACTGATACCGAGGTCAATATCCGATTGGCCTCTTGAGGCGCGCATAATTAACAAAAATTGGCACTACTATCGATTGACCTATTGACAGGCTCACAATTAGCAAAAGATATTTCAAGTATTAGGTAACAATTCTCAAGGTAGTCTAATTTTTTGTTGCTTTCTTTTTCAAAACAGAACACTTTCGCTTACGCATATATATAGGAAGTAGTACGAAGCCCCGGGTGCTAAAGTAAAATCAACTCAAAATATATCAGATTTTTATTTTAATTATAATTTCCAATCTCCGCGTACAGGGGTTTAGTAGTTGGCGGCGCCATTAACGAACTTTGAAGTTAGTTGCTTTGTGCAATTTGCTGCCAGAGTTACTTTCACCGACAGAGCATCCAATCGAAGCGAAGCGTACCTTTCAAAGTTGTGAAAATAACGTAGTTGAATTCATATTAGATAAGTGGTCGATATTGCTTTGTTACCCAGTTGTTTGCAACCACTTTAGATGTTTGTGTAAAATTAAACAACATCCGCTGAAAAATATTCTTTTTAAGTTTCGCTTTGGTTACTGATGCGAAAAAGTTGGGGACGTAAAGGCTGAGGGCGACATTTCGCTTAGCATATCGGCTACACATTTCGAAAATCTGTCAAATTGTTCAAAGAACATACCTACATACATATAGAATATCAACTGCGATCATTTCTTTTAACAGCAAAAAAAAATTTGAATATTTTGCTTTCTACTCATAATGATGTAAAATAAAAAAAAATAATAAAAATTGCATGAATATTCTCTGGGTAATCTTGCAGTATCTGGGAAAAATCAACCAGGTCCACGCTACATTATACAGTATAGAGTAATTTATTTTTTTGTTATTGGCTTTTTAAACATAAAGATATTGAATATAATATGTTCCGCTATAATCGAAAATGATTTTCTTACCCGCTCTTAATCAAAGTCGTCTTCTCAACCTTAATCTATCGGATTTAGTCGAGTATAGGCTTGCATTGCCTTTATAGTTACCGCATAATTGCACCACATGCGATGTAGGGTGCACTTGTCTTCCGATATGAAAGCTCAAAATATCAATATATCAAATGATTTGTTTCTTTATTGGACTTGAGGTACACCCACCTTTTATTATACCAATTGAAACAGAATCACTTTCTGAATCGATTTAGGCTTGTCAGTCAGTTCGCCTGTCCGTCGTTTATTCTTGTCTTCAATCTATTTTTGATGAAAATGATTCGAATCGGTCCATTTGTTCGATCGCTTCTTTCTATATTATTCGAAAAAGTCATTATATGAATAATTGTAGGATGAGGTGGAGTGGCCTATTATAGTGTTTTTATCTCTTTTCAATTTAACATTTTTTTTAAATTAATTGTTTTTACACCTAATACCGAAGATAGGAGGTACATGCATTTTATCAAAGTATTTACAGCAATCAAAAAGAAGCTCCCACGGGCACAACGATGTAGTGGATTAATTTCCTCGATACAATACAATCGACGTGGGTATCTCAAAAACAAGGGCTTGGAGAGAAGAATGCGACAACCTAACTGCTTTAATTGATAATTAGGTTTGATGACGTCACGACTATCGAGAGAAGTCAATTTCCGCTTATTCCCATCGAAGCCATTACAAGTCAGAAAACTGACGGGGCTAAATGATTTACATCGTATGTCATACAGCTACCCAAGCTTCCGGTTTATATATAGTAGGTGAGTTTACAACCCTGAAATCATTTATTGATTTTAATGGTAATTGTGAATGCGAAATTCTTTCTTACTTGCTCTCTTCTTCTGTTTTTGCTTTCATTTCTACAATGCGATAAATTTGAATTTTATTAATGAGGAAAAGTTTTATATACCAAATACGGGGAAAAAGAATTGCTTGTATCTACGACAGGATGTTCCATAAGTTCCTTAACAAAATTCTGTTAATTTAACCTTGATGCTGACAATAATATTTGATCGATGGAGATATTAATTTCGCTGTAAACATTAAATGTACAGTCACGACCGTGATAAGTAGCGCATACTTCACTCTGAGAATAAATATAGCAATGCTCATTAAGAAGATTAAGAGGATTGAATTTTTCATTATTATTCGTTTCTATTCGATGTTACTATTATTCACTATATATTTAGGAAGACAAAGAAAATTTTTGCAATACTGATTACATATTTGGGCTTTTCTTTAAAAGTTTTTCATAGAAAATTTTTATTTTAATCAAATTTCATTTCAATCGATTCAAATAAATGTAGAGATAGGAAAACATTACATGTCCATATTAATTAAATGATTTTGAGCATATTGTTATTAAAGTTTGAAAGAAAACCGTTATTATATATATGAATGTAGACGAAGATGATTCATCGCTTAGTAAAGTAAACTTTACTAATTTCCATTATTTTATCTTATAGGTGTACACGCATGACTATACAAATTGAAAATGTTTATCTTCATTTATTCATTCGCACATTCAAACAAAACAAAATGAAAAGTCTTCAACATTCATATTTAAGTTTTTACATGCACTCTCATGTGCTTGAAAAAGTATTTATAGACTTTAGAGTGAGTTGCACTAGACTGTAGCATACTGTTAGGCTGCTTCTATTAACAATGACCAATTGTTGCTTTTAACAGAAACTAAACGACGTTTAACAGAAACTCATAATAATGAGTGCAACTCTGTTGTAATGAATGTAGAAAATACGACGAAGAAATTGCGAAAAAGGTTACGTTACAACGCATAGATAGAATTTTTCTTCACAAAAAATGGAAATAATCAGTTGAATTTGCGTAATTGCTATTAAGAAAATTCCTCTTTTATGCAATAAGTATATGTTGCATTGGCTTTCAAGTGTTTAAACACATTGAAACATGAAGAGAAACAGTTGAAATAATTGCCAGTCAAGTACGGCAGCCGTCGACAGCGTTCATATGAAAAGCCGTCGTGTGTTAGTGTTCGTTAGCATTCGTTTGTATTTACAAAAAGATATTCCAATTCTCAGAAAGGACCCCATCAGAATACACAGCAAAGCTAATTTTACTCTCAAAAAGAGAATGTTTCATGTAACACACACATACATACATTCACACATGCATTCATTTTGAATATTATTTATTTATTCTATTTTTTTATAAAAAATAAAATATATATACATATATATATAAAACAAAATATATTAAATAAATACACTTGCAATTTTTAATGGTAATAATTAATGATAATTTAATCTTAACTTTTATGCATACAAACAATATTGATATAAATAATAACAACGAGAATGTAATTTTATTTCATTTATTTAACAGAAGATTTGTCGCGTTTTGAAAAATAAATCCTGCAAATCCTACAAATCCTACAAATCAATATTTAAGTTTTCCATAAATTTGGGAAATATATGGCCACGATAAAAATTTTGCGGCTATCATCGCCTATAACGTTACATTCTATAAATTGAAGATTCGAGCATACAAGCACGTTCATTCGCAGCGCAGACAGCAGATAGATCGGATAGAAAATATACAAAATATTTGTTAAAATTGTGTGAGAATAAAAATTAAAAAAAACAAAAAAAAATTCTTTTTTATTCTTTAGTGATATATAACAATAATAATAATAATAATAATAATAGTAATATTATAACAATATATAATAATATATAATTATTACATTTTATTTGTTCGTCGGGCATCCGCTACAAACAATAAAAAGGAGCTTTGTGGAAAAACACTGTTAATGTGAAAGCGCGACCTCTCATTTTAAATTAAAAAAAGGTAAAAAATAAAAAATAAATAAAACACTATAAAACTAGAAATTGTTTATAAAAAAAGTAACACAATGTCTCCTTCCTGTGTAGTGCACTAAAAGAAAAAAACGAATTTGTTTTTGAATTTCCTTTTGAAAGGAGAAAGGAAGCAAAATTTAATGTAAGGTATATTCTTAACTCGCTAGATTAATAATTTAATTGCTTTGTAATAGTTGTCAAGTACACGAAAAATCGCATAAACCACATATTTGATCAGCGGAAGAATTGTAGCAATATCGGCTTAGCTGCTCATTTATTGCAATCATAAAAATAAGCAAAAACAAAAAATCAAAAGTTTACTTTAAGCATTTTCTCATCCACACTACTCTCGTGTACTAGTACGTGTAACCAGTAAGAAAAATCAAAATTTTTTTTTTCAAAAACTTTCCCTTTTAGATTAAGTGTAACAAGTAGGAAAATTTCGATTTGTTTCAAGAACTTCCCCGTGTAAACTAGTTCCGTTTAACGGTGTAACGAGTGGAAAATTTCGGTTTGTTTGTATGTACAAAATGTAACGAGTAAGAAAAAAACAAGTTTGTTTCAAGAACTTTCCAATGGAAACTAGTTCCGTTTATTTGTAAAGAGTAGGAAAAATCAAATTTTTTTCAAAAATTTTCCCATTTACACTAGTTTCGCTTAAGTATAACGAGTAAGGAAATTTCGATTTGTTTCAAGAAATTTCCGCACTACACTAGTCTCGATTCAGTGTAGCGAGTAAGAAAAATCATATTGACTTCAAAAACTTTCCCATCTACGCTAGTCGCAGGGGCCAGAAGGAAACATTGGAGGTCCTAGGACGTGTACATCTTTTCGATCCGCCTAATAAATTGTAAATCGATTTAAGCAAGTCCGTCGGTCCCTCCTTTTTATGTTTGTAGGAAGCATTTTCACTGATATGAAGATATTGACTGCGAATTTGCCGGAGGCACTGCAAGTTCTACCACACAGGCTGACATCAACAGAAGGGCAAATCAGTCAAAGAGTACGTCCGCTGATATCATTTCTGTTTCCAAAAATAAAAGAAAGGCTTTGGTGTTTTATTCCAGAGATGTGTAGTTATGTTCTATAAGTAAATTGACTGAGTAGCTTAACAAAAGTCGACCACACGCGTCCAACATTATAAGATATGGAAATATTTTCTTTAAGATAAACATGATTTGTAGAGAAGAATGTAATTTTCCCATCTACCATGTATGATATATAGATTTAGGTCGATGGGTAGCAAAGATTTATACCCTGTAATAGGTGTAAGCTTTTTAGGGGTTTTCCTTTGATCTCGATCCCGTTTCATGGAAAATTTGTAAAAAAAAGATATATTAATTATATCTGAGCCGACTAATTATTTCTTCTTTTCTGTTAATGCTGCATGGAAGTATGCATTTGAGGCTTCACAAAGTATATGCTTACAAAGTCTACACATTTTGCCATAGATTTACCAATGGCCTACTGTATATGTCCGTCTGGTAAAATCTCCAGTAGAATTTTAAAACCCTTTTTTTTGGGTCAGATCAAATTTGAAATTTTTCCCAGTCTTCACATGTGAATTAAATTCACATAGCTCACTACATGGAAGACATAACTAAACATATATTTTATATATACGAAATAAATCGTAGCATAATGAAGAAGCTGAGTTCAGCAGTAAGGCAAAATCTCTCCAATAGGTCATATATATATACATGATTATCCGACGATTAGCCGACGATAATGAAATTTCTTTTGACTCGGGGCGGTCTTATAACACGCATATCCTAAACCTCACGCCAGCGTCACACACACTTAATGCCACAATGTCCACAATTAGTTTCTTTTGTTTCACGGACTACAATCTTAAAGAATTATCGAACTAAGCACGAAAATCCGCCAAGTCGGGCGAACAAGAAAAAGACTCTATGAAAGGGTCTCTCTGTCTTTGCCATGTAGGTACAAGTACGAAGAATAGATGAATTTATATATATAAATTTAAAAAAAAAAAATTTTTTTTATTACTATATTTTGTTGTAATTAAGTTATTTACATCACCTATTGTATCGCTTACTTACTTTACATTTTTTTCCTTTTTTTTCATTTCATATAAATAAACCCTTTCCAACATTAATACAATTTCACATTTAATTACAGAAAAAAAAAAAAGAAAAAGCAAAATGAATAAAAATGAAAAAACATTTTTTTTGAATTCAAACAGAGAAAATCTTCAAGTTTTTTTAATACAAAAAAAAGTTCCTTCTCCTTCATCCAGAGACATGCTCTTATAAACATAATATTTTTATTATCAATTTGCTAAATAGTAAAAAGAAAGCAAGTACGAAAATCATATTCGGTCGCAACCGAATCGTTTATATCCATCATCATCGTTTTCTTTAAAAATGAAAAAACCCGTAAGGAAAGTACATTTTCTTGCTCCGCAATATGCAGCGTGAGTCGACTGATTTTTTCTTTTCTCGAAATCGATATTTTTATCTCGCATAGGTCGAGTAGAAGTCGGCATATTCATTTTCGCTAACGTGGGAATGTTTACCACAGATATTACTCAGTTATGCAGACGGCCAGACGGACATGTTTAAGTGCTTTCCAAATTTGAAACAGGCCAAGAATTTATATACATTAGAGAGTTTTTGAAGCTTAGAAAAATTAAATTTTGATAAATTATAATATTGGGTAGGCGTGGTCAATTTTTCTACGTTTCTACAGGATTGCCTATATTATATCGGTTCAAATTTTTGTATGTATGAGGTGTTCTCAGTTTACGTCTTGCTGTGGGCGCATCTTTGGATCGACTTGGTCCATTTTTAATACCAACCAGCGCAAGAGCTTCCAATGTTTCTGCCAAATTTGATGTCGATAGCTTCATATTTGCGGTCATTACCCAGACGGACACACTTAAATCGATTTCACGATTTGTAGGTTCTCCGAAGCTTCCTGCTTCCTGCTGGGCGTTGCAAATATTTGGGCAAAATGAATACATCGATATAAAGAAACGAACGCTGCAGTTTAATTACTTTATATTATCATACATAACATACATAACATATATAAAACATAAATATAACATATATGAAAAACAAAATATAGTTTCACATATAAAGTATAAAAACACTTGCATCGTAAAAGAGCTTGACCTAGTTTTTTGAAAAAAAAAACAAAAAAAATTAGTAAAAATCAATGGCCTTGAATCAAAGCGATCTTGCTAGCATCCAAGCTTAAAACTTGTTGTCCTTTATTTCGCTTCCATAACATAAATATTATAAATGGCGTTATGGGATAAAAACTGAAAAATCGATATCGACTCAATGTTCACTTCACGTGGGAGGGAACGGCTCCTTGGTTAGCTACAGAAAAACTCTTGAGCTGTGCAGGCACCTTTCTTAAGGAATTGAAAACTAATGATGATATAATGACTTTATCTTATTCGTGCAAATACATGCATGATGCAGTTTATAGACCATGTAGAGGTGGACTCTGAGATTCAAAAGCTGCAACAATTGAAGAAAGGTAAGACCAGAACTTACGAGCTGAAATAACACACCCCGACAGCGGTCTGGGGAAAGCTACTTTAGAACCATATATTTGCGAAGAATATTATTATGTTTATATTGCACAAATGACACCGTCCAAGCTGCTAGCCGTGTAGAGCCGTTTTTGGAGTCTTACGATTTCCGCCACCGTCTTTGTTGCGTTTGATTTTATGAATTCGTCGGCAAACACTTAGCGTTTAATTCCATGAATAGTCGCATATTTATACAAAATGTACTAGGACTTCTCAATCGTTCCTTTGCCGTTTCAATCCAAATCGGTGATCGATATACCCGCGAGTTTTCAATTCAAGTACCAAGATCACCTAAAATACACTGATTAACATTGACAACAAACGGCAATATTTTATTATGAAAAGCAATAGTTTCAGGTATACATTTACCAGCTTTTTTTATACCCACCACTGTAAGAGGGAGGTTTACTCATTTGATTTATCCATGGCTGCCCGCCTGTACGTGTGTGTGTCTGTTTTTGGCATTCTCCTTGCCGCATTCAAATTTGGTACAAACATGAGAGGTTTCTGCAAGCAGCCTGGTTTTGAAAACGAGCTAAATTGGTCGGAGCAGAAACCCGCACTGGAGCATAAAGTGAACGCAACTCCGTTTCTCTTAATAAAAATTTATGGGGAGGGCTATAAAAGTTAGAAAGGTGAAATTTTTCTCATTGACTTTACGAAGCACTCTACTGTTTACGCGCAAAAATGAAAGAAATCGGCCATGCCCACACAAAGCTACGAGTAATAAAATTTTTTTTTTTTCACTTTTTTGAGATTTGATGCTTAGGCAAACGAGACCGAATGTTTAAAAGTATTTTGTCGGGATCTCCTGTTACCTACAAAGTGAGTGAGTTTTCTCATCGCCTTCGATACGCAAATGTTCAGAAATCCATATTAGGTGCAGCTCAGTGTGCTTTATTAGCTCGTTCAGAGTGTGAAGGTGAATAAACTGTTAGAAGAAGGTTTGACTTTCCTAGCTTCCGAAATAAGAATATTATTCATTACATCAGAATCGACCTTCGTAGGCCTATTTTCTGCTATGTGAGAAGCTGTCCTAAGGGCGTCATAGTACGGTTATATTTGCATGAATTTCAATAGTGGTTGTCAGATATGGCAATGAAATCATAACCTCTAGCTTCTAACTGTTTTCATCTTTGATTTATTATTCTAGGTAGAAATGGGAAAGATATTAACCTAACGATATTAAATTCTACAATTGGAGCAATAGCTTGTTATTAGGTTTTGGTGAATGATTTTTTGTTTTGTTTGGTAATTAGTGAGATCGCTTTCTCTTGGCGAGAGCCTTAAGAAAAATGATCCAAAAAGCCTCGATTAAATTGACAATGGATTGCGACGGTGGAAGCGACAATATTAAACACTTATGGTTTTTATGTTAAAAAAAACATCATAGCAAGTAAACTTCATGACCAGCAATTACAGATCTATCATAATGACTAAGAAGAATGAGTATAGAGGGCGACCATACAAAATTCATAAATTCTCCGCGGTTTTTCCCCAGGATGGTATGGATGCCTATATGTCGGGCAACACTCGCTCACTTGTCTCAAAGGAACGCGGGCTTAAAAGGTGACAGTTCAGTTAAAATTTTTCAAAATCTTTGCTCTTGTAAAAAGTTATATTGTTTTGCAAATGAGTGACATATCGGAAGAGATATAGAGTTAAATACGCTGCAAAAAAAAAAGAAGGAACGAAAATGTGTACGGAGAGAATTCTGTGATCGAACCAAGAACCGAGGAGGAGAGTTAGCTCGATTCCGTTCCAGCAAATTTCGATGTGAAACATGCACCTCATAGTTACATAAAAGCTTAGAAAGAGCAGACTACAAAAGTAAAGTAAAAATTTGTTTTTAAGCTTGAGATTTCTAAGGTCCTATTTAGGCGTGTTTCTCCCTTCCACTTATTTATATTTTAAAATGAAATTATAACCTCTCAATGAAAATATATGTCCACATGTTACTTAAAGTGCATAGACACAACGGGCTCTGCCCATAGAAAAAATCATAGGATGCTTCTTTCAAAAAAATTGAAGGTATCAGTCAGCAAACGAAACGACATTTATGTCTGTGTGAACATATATATACATATATATATATATACATATATATACATATATAAAGACGCGTTTGCCCATCTATCGGTGCATAACAAATTGATTAAAAAAAAAATAAAAATAAAAATAAAAATATAGATTCTATTAGGGCTTAACTCAATTAAATATTCTTTAGTAAATTTAAAACTAAGGGATGAGTGCAAAGTGCTTTCTGCACCAATTCGTTATGTTCGGCTTTGTGTTACTCTTTTCATCTATAAATGTATATGACATTAAAACTAAATCAAGTGCTAAGTTCAAGTAAAATGCAACAAAAAGCAAAGATTCGTCAAAAGAGATCTTAAAAATCATGCGAACATACAAGTGTGTATTTATTTTCGAATCATTGCAATTGCATATGAATCTCTTCCAAGTCCTATAGATACCGCATTTCTTATGGCGTTGATTTGGAAAGTCCAAGTTTAATAGCTGGGCCACGGTTCACTTTACAATACCCTACACCATTTTGGTTAATGCCACGCAATAATGGCGGTAATGGGAAGTGATCGATAAGGTAATACGATCCGAAGCGTTTTCCATAGCCTTCGTGTCCTTGAACCGAAACAAATCGGTGTAGCAAATTTCATTAAAAAACTCGCGATTAGAATAGCTTTCTGAACCGATCAATTCTTCTAGAGTTTGCATGCATAAGCAGAACTTGAAATTTTAATACAAAAAAGATGATGATCTCCGCGAAAATAAATGGAAATAAAATGAGTAAAAGACAGATGCGTTAAATTGAAAATTTCGCCAAATTTTAATTTGAATAAAATTCGACAACTCAACGGAAACGAAAAATAATTAATTGATATTCTTTTTCAATTCTTCAGAGTTATTCAATCAAATTAATAATCGGCGATATATTTTTTTTTTAATTTTTGTCGAGACTTTGATTAAATTCTTATAATACAGAGATGTTCTTATTCTAAGGTGAACCTGAAAATATAATATAGATTATTCAGTTCTTTCGATTCGATTCTAGCTTCTTGCCCTGCTCATCCATCCAATTTAGGCACATCGGTGAAAGTGACTTCATTTGTTTGCGAAGCCCTTTGATATTCGATAAGTACGATTTTGTTGGTCCCAATTCTAAGTACTTCTTTAGGTATATACAATGTAATTTGCGGGCCAACTAAAGGCCAATAGCGACCAATATTTTCACCATTGATAAATGCGAGACCCTTACTCCAACCACTAACATCTAAATAGGTATCTTCTGGACCTATTTCGCCGTTTATATTAAGATTACCATAATATAGTGCCGGACCTTTATTAAGCATACCATTATTGTTGCTCTCACTGATATCGTTCCATTTGGGTCCATCGATTTTGATTAAATTTGCAATATCATCATAAGATTCTAAAGGGAATTTAGTCATATTCCAATTTCGTAGCACTTTTTTATCTAACGTAACATTATTTGTTAGACCTTTAAAGTCCATCATATAGCCATAATTTATGCGACCTTGATTCTCGACAAGAATTTGCAATTTCCTACCAGCACTTTTCGTTATGGGTAAATCGTAAATAGGCGTTTCACGCGCTAATATACCTATAAAGTTATCATCTACGTAAATATACGCTCGATCTCGTAATCCCGGTACATGAAGTACACTAGGATCTCGTTTTAATAATGGTAAAAATGTTTCATATAACACCAGACCTGAATACTGATTAAGGGCTTCAAACGTTAACGGTTTATCTGCCATCACCACACCTTTCGATAAATGGTGACGGCCAGCCTTGGAAAATAAGGAACAACAACGTAGTAGTTGTACGGTTCCGTAATGTTTTTTTGGTAAAGGAACCGGTACAGGAATATCAGGCAAAGGTAAATAACGTGCTATTATATCTCTTAAAGCGAAGTATTTCGGTGTGGGATCGCCAGCTTCGGTCATGGGTGCATCGTAGTCGTAAGAGGTTATATCAGCTTGATAACGTCCCGGACCGCCATTATTGGCACCGGCTGTAAAGCCAAAATTGGTGCCGCCATAAAACATGTAAAAATTTACGCTCGCATTGCTGGACAGCATGGCTCTGTAAAATTGAACAATTCTTAATATCGCTGCAGATTTATTAAGGATTCAGAGCCTACTCGAAAGTATCTTTTATCGGACTAATAGGCGTTCGCGCCATATCTTCACCCCAGTGTGTTAACCAGCCAGGATAAAATTCAGCATTTACCAACGGTCCTTTAGGTTGAATACGTCTCAACTCTTTCCAAAGTTCTTTTATATTTCTCGTGGCCCCGAAATCCAAAGTAGATAGAACTCCATCGATGTGACCACACGATAGGCCGTTAACGCCATCGTTAGTGAAGAGTACGGCTTTATCTTCGACATACGTTAAAGTTTCCTCATGTAGCCATAAACGGTAATTTTTATCACAGGCATAGGAACCGTATTCATTTTCTACTTGCACCATTATTATCGGCCCGCCATTGGCGTAGAGATAGGGTGATACTTTCGGCATAAGACGTCGATACCAAGTACGTATCTCCGACATGTAATCTGATAGCAAACACTTTAATAGCAACAACGAAAGTAAAACAATTGAATCAACATCTAATTACCTACCTACGTTGGCTACTCGCAACTGAATATTAGGATACTTGGTCAATAGCCAATAGGGAAAGCCACCCTAGGTTTAAGTTAACAGTGTTGAGATTATCTTCTTATTATTCGCTTATGCTTATGAATTGTTAAAATACTCACAAAATCTCTTTCGGCGCATATGTAAGGACCGGGTCTTAATATTACCAATAAATCCTCTTCTTTCGCTAATTCGATAAAACGCTCCAAGTTGGCGATACCCTGCCATATATAAACACCATCTTTCGGATTGTGCAAAGACCATTCAACATAACTTGAATTTCGTAAGATATGAAATTTAATATTTTTCAAAATATGAAGAATGAAGGAGGGACTTACGTAGTGACCGCATTCAAACCAGCAGCACGTATAGTACGTAACTTACGTTGCCAAGTATCGGGATGAGCGCGAAAATAATGAAATGAACCGGCTATAAAACGAAAAGGTTTACCATCTTTTAAAAAACAATCGTTTTCCCAGTCGACAGCGAAGGTACGCTTATTATCAGCCCACAATCCGCGAACCACGACGCCAAGTAACAATAATAAACATAGCCAAAGTAGAATACACCGCATTCTCTTTACTTGAGGATAACGTGCGTATATTTTGAAATAAGAAGAAAGATAATTAAGAATGAGATGAACAAGAATCTGAGGATTGGCCAATATCGCCACAGATATATATATATATATATATATATGTTGTAAATTTTTCAATATTCTTATGAATTGTTTTATATTTAAAGAATATCTGCCTCAATAGCCGTATATTTATATATATATATATATACATGTATGTTTGTGTACGTATGCGAAATAAGTGAATTGAAAAAAGTTTCAGGAAACGGAACAAACTGCTGTCTCTTTGCAATCATTCCCATTAGATTGTATATACTCGCTGTGCCACAGTCTTATCTATTGTAGTTTGAATATTTTCTATAGCGCACACACACACACACACACATTGCATTGCATGTAGTGAGATGGCGGCGTTTCATAACTTGTTTTTATTTCGTTAGTGTATATATATGCATATGAGTGAGTCGCCATTAATCAAATTGTCATGCAAATTGTTGTCTGTTGTGTATATATTTAGTTTAGTTATTCTTTAAATATTCAAGTTCATGAGCACTTTCATTAAATATCGGAAGAGTCAACTAATAAAAGTACGTAATGTACGTAATATCAATAGCAGTAGCAGTAGCAGTCATAGTAGTAGTCATAGTAGTAGTAGTAGTAGTAGTAGTAGTTATAGCATTAGTAGTGGTAATAGAAATAACATAATTCTCTCTCTTCTTTTCTTGGCAGATCAAGTAAAAAGAGATTTTTTTTCTAAGCAATCTCCTGTAGCTTTAATATTGTATTGAAAACTTTTACGAGATTATTTAATAAAACAAATGCACCCTATCGGAGTATCCAATGCGTGTTTCGGACATATTCTCGACTGGTATCTGTCTCATAAAGACTGTACTCTAAGCAAATAAGCAAACAGCAGATGATTTGATGAGTACACAGATCAATGTAGAATCTCAAGTTGATTAAGACCAAAAAGCGTATATCGGTAATTAAATTGTTTAATTGGAACGTGCATCTCACGTCCATGTCATTTTTCCATTTTTATACCTTAACACATACCAGTGCTAGGGGTGTATTAAGACCGGGCCAATGGTTTCAGGAGGAGTTAAAACATAATCCCACGATGAATTTAGAGATATTTTGAGACTCGATTTAGACATGTCTGTCCGTCTGTCCACTTGAAAATTTCTAATTTGTTATTGTATTATAGCTACAGATATTTCGACGAAATGCGTTATATTGATGTGCTCTTCGTTTCTGAAAGAACACTAATAAAATTGGACTGAATCGGATCACTTTTGCAAGTACTACCTATATAAACCTCCATTTTGAAATGCTTAAGAGATTTCAAAAAAGTTCGTAATAAATAGTACTTACACATAATGATAATAAATGTGAGAAATTTGGAACAGATATAGTCCTCTTTCGATATACAGGCGTCCCTCTCTGCGATTAATGCGATTAATTCGTATCGTAATTGGTTTATAGAAAACCTTTTGATTTTTTATTTAATCTCAAACGTCATTCATATAGAATATGACCTAAAGAAGAACATAACCTAAACTTAGATGTCTTCTTCTTCTTATGCGAGTCAGCAAATCAACAACGGATAATGCACTGAGTTGAAAAGAAAACTTAGACTTAATACAAATTAAAAAAATCGCCACAATGTTGTATCGAAAATTTATCCGTGTTGTATCGAGGCTGCGCTTGATAAATACTACGTTAAGCGAAGGATGTCTGTATACGGTTTTACAAAAAATAAGTGAAAACATTGTAATCGGGCCCGGGTTAATATTGAATACCATGCATCACTTTATCTAATACAATTCTTATTTTTTGCCATAGAACACAAAACTTTTAGCTTATTTTTATATGAACTCACTATTACGGAACTATATATTAAAAATTAGACCTCTTTGCAAACAAAAGCTTATTTCCCGTGAAAATAGTTGTGCCCAACTGAGGTCCGTGTTCAAAATTTTCTATCAACTTACTGTTGGGGATCAATTTTCGTCATAAAATATTAAAACTTAGACTTTTCAATTCAATTTTCGTCATAAAATATTAAAACTTAGACTTTTCTGCTCTAAAAAATCAAAATTTTCGAGATATCTTTATATATACGACAGAATCCAAAAATAGATGTACGTCGTCTAAATTTTGTAGAGTTCATTTTTATATCAAATTCCTATTATGGGCGAATTTTCATCATAACATATTAAGAAAATGCTTATATGGCGTAGGATCCAATTCCATTCCATTTTTTCATCTTAAATTACTACTATGATCTAATTTTTATTATAAAGCGCTGAAAATTAGACCTTTTAGACATATGAATTTTACTTTCCATTTTAAGAGGGGATTCAATTGCCCCAGTTGGTCCAATGTTTTCACACCAACTTGGAATGGCGAAGTACCATTGCTTAGTTTCTTTTGTCTCAAAATTTTAAAAATTCCAATATAACGATTTTTCAAAATAGAGCGCTATATGGGGAGTGGTCGAAAGAACAGACCGATCCAAATTATTTTCAACAGCGCGTCAATACACGTCAACCGCATTTCAACAAAATATTTCAAAAATTTGCGATCTATATCTTGAATACAAATTGACATAAGCAGACGTTAGGCGGAAAGACAGGCTTAGTTGATTTTGAAGCGATCGGTATAATAAAAGATGGCTCTATCTTAAACGCTTTCGGATTTTACATTCGTCCGCACTAACTTTATATACACTGTACCAGAAGTGATGTAGGGTATAAATATTAACCTATTATCTGCTGCGAAGTGAAAACACTCCAAATATAAATCTACTATGAGTTAGAAACCATTCGTAACCTCGGCCAATCGCGAGAAGACATCGTTAAAAGAGCGTTCTGCGTAGCGTACTTATTGCGACTGAGAACAAACGTGAAGAAGTTGTCAAAATTTTCGATTTGAAAAACCAATCTTCCAATCTTCCTTATGCTTATTAAAAATCCTATACTGAGCACAACAAAGTTACGTGTGTAACGTATTCTTTCGGGAACACTTCGTATCGCAATCTGAAAGACTTATTATCCTCGCCACTCCCGCTTACGAATCCCGCCCGCCTTCTTTGTGTCGGTGCACCGTAATATATCTGGCGCCTAATACTTTCTCGTCGTCTTATTCCCTACTTTCTGAATCCATATAAAAAGTCGACGAATATGTTATGTGAATGAAATACTTTTCAAGATCTCAATAGGTTGTGATTAAAGTTCTTTTCACTGTATGAGTTGAGGGAAGCAGGTGTGATGGTCTTACACATACACATGAGTTTAGCAAAATTATGATATTCCCATTCTTCGGTCATGATTACGAAAATAAAATATTGGACATTTGAACAATACATGCTAATGTGTGTGTGTTTTCGATAACATTTACTTGTAGAAATTATATAAATTTTTTAGATAGAATCAACATAAAATGTATTAAAGATAAATTATGCGAAAATATTTTTAGTGGTAAACTGATTAGCATTAATATTTATTATTGCTATCTTTATTGCTAGCAAAGTCGCTTTTAAACTTTAAGTAAAGTAAGTCTAAAAAGTATGAAGCCTTTAGATGCTCAAAATTTCTAAACACTCAAGTTAGCATGTAAGACAAACTTTATTTCAAGTAAATTAAGTAAAGCTATCATTACTATTGGGTGTACAAATAAGTTTTGAGGGCATTTTTTAACTCTAACTTTAACACTCTATTCAGTAAAATGGATGCAATGTATTTTATTTCAAAGTGTATTTCATTGAAAGCAATGTCTAGCGTTAGCTACTACTTTCTTCCATATCTCAGCGAATTTAACGAGGAAGGTTCGGAAGGTTGCCGATAATAGCGGGAAGGTTAGGACATTCCAAGTTAGAATTGCAACTATTTTCTAACCAAATTTCGCTATAGGGAGCGGATTTTTCTTCACATTGAGAAGTTGTCACGCCCATCTTTTACCGCAACTGCATCTATTATTATTGCTAACACGTCTCATATGATCGCATTAAAAATGCCCAACATGCCCTTCCCCCCTCGCGGAACGAATGGATTTTCGCGTTCATCTTCGATGTCAATTCCCCTACTCTCCTACTCCCCTACTCTGCATGACGATTATTTTGACTTCGGATATCGTAACCGAGCAAGGACTTGGCGGCACTATCAGCAGAGACAAAACTACGCCCATTTAAAGCTCCAAGGAACTACATTGGACACGCTTTAGTGCAATTATTTACATAAAGACAAATGAAGAGAAAAGTCAGGATTTTATTTATCACCCTACACCCCATTGTTTACACTCTCTCTCTCTCTCTCTCTCTCTCTCTCTCCCAATGTTATGGTTATCATCGTGTTGCACCGTATCTAAGCGATTTGTTATTACCATCGTTTCATTTCATGTTTACACATATACGTACATACGTGCATAATTAAACGCGTTTGAAAGCAATTAGGTCGACTTTCTTTTAAATAAACCACAAGACAACATGCACTTAACGTGCAATACCCAAGATATGCTTAACATATATGCGTGTGTGTAATTGAGAAGAGAGACTTTCTTTAAGAGATTTTCTATAAACATAAAAAAAAAAGAATTATGTTTTCAATTGATTTTAACCGAATGAAAAGATTTTGCATGCAAGCACCCACCCACACACGCATTGATATAAAAAGAAGCGAGAGACAAGTTTTATGATCAACTTCCCATTTATTGCACACACACACACACACACATTTCGCGATATCTAGTGTCAAGTTTAATTAAACGAACGAAACCAATCAATCAATGAATTTATATTTACCAAGAATTTCCAGAAATATTTGTCGAATATTAAGAAAAATTGTTTGTCTTTTTTTTTTTTTTTACATAAATTTCATTAACACATATCCCGACGCTATTTATGTTGTTATTTGAAATTCTGCGCTTACGTTGACTAAAAGGTAATAATAACCGCACGATCCAAACGTTAGATCAGAACTGAGACTAAAAAAATTCTAAACATTTGATCTTGTGCGCCTTTACACATACATTTCAAGCATGAGCTCTGAGTTTACTGAAGAGAATTATTTTCTCTCCGTGCGAACGTAACGCAAAGTTACGTTACGTGCATTTGCATCAATCATCACGCATTTAAATGTCAATATTTGATCTGACTCTTTTACTTATCGGTTATTGGAAGTCCAAGATAGATTTTCATTGCATTATTGGCGGAGTAAACGCCATATAAAAATCATATTTTGATTTCTGCTTGGAAGATTTTTCAATCGTTCAATCGCCATATCTGAAGTCTGAACTTAGCTTTGTTTCTGTGACCACAAGCATGCTTGCCACAGACCATATAGAGAGAGATCGATCGAACATTTTTAGTTTTATTTAGAATTTGATATGAATGACATGTATACATAAGTAAATATATATACATGTATATGTTATGGGATGTCTGACGCTTCTTTCTCATTGTTGCAAACGTTTTCATTTTCTTCGTTGGTGGGCATATAAGCAACAAAGGGCACATTTAGTTTTTTTTTTTTCTGACGACAAATAAATGAACAAACGGACAGAGGGACAAACTGAGTGCTGAATAGACTTGGACAATATTGCGCCCTAATAAACGTCTGCGAGTGTATGCTGTACCAAGCAGAAGGACAAATATCGGGAGTGACCACTTATGGATCTTTAAGCCGCATGTACCAATACTTCGTTTTACGGTGAACTGAGAATAGCAATGGAATGATAGAATGGTATATACGAACTATTCAACGGTCAAATGGACAGAGGAACAAACATTGCTAAAGAGACTTGGACTATATGCGCCCTAATAAACTTCTGCGAGTGCACGCTGTACCAAGCAGAAGGACAACTATCGGGTGTGGTCACTTATGGATCTTTAAGCCGCATGTACTTCGTTCTACGGTGAACTGAGAATAGCAATAGAATAATAGAATGGTATATACAAACTATACGGCTGCGGAGAACGACAAGTAATATTATTATTCTCCATTCCCCAACACGCCAGGCAAAGAATAGATATAGAATTTAGACTGATAATTCTACGAGCTTCACAATATTAGTTCCATCTTTGATAAACATGTTCTTTGGGCATATCTCTTGAAAATGTTTAACGTCCCTACTATCTCTCCACCCCGAATTCGACCACCGCTTAGCACTGTTTAAGTGATGTTTCCTTCAGTGCTTATAGGTTTTGACCATCTCGCGGATTCGTTGTTACCCAAGGTGAACACGGTAAGTCAGAATATCCCAATAATTTATTTATCTTCTCGTTTCTGAGCTACATGCTTAGCAACAATTCCGCATCTAAAATAAATGCAATTGCGGACGCACGGACAAACATATTCCCCGAACTGTTATAAGTCAATGCTGTTACCTTTATGCTCATGGCGGAAACTTTTCAGTCAACCTACATACAGCACGTAGGCTGTGATGTAAAAACACCTGTTCGTTATTGATTTGAATTGAATTGTCGCCAGTTTAAATTAAATTCCTCATGGTAGATATACATGCTCTACTTTGTATTGGTTCATTACGTTTGTGTTGTTGCTGGTGTTGTCAGATTCTCTTTAGTGATAAATCAATTGAATTGAAGCTGCAAAGTGTATTAGTTGTTACTCTTGCCTACAAGACTTTCAAGCTAACTTTATGTACAAAACTTGAACTAAATATTCTTAATGAATATATAACATGGATGCATGTAGCCCTTTAAGGTTTATATGCATCTATCTCTTTCTCATTCAAGAAAAGAAACGAACAAAAAAACTCTTATTGTTTTAAAGTCATTGTTATAGCTTCAGATCAGTTCAAATAGACGTACCTGTATATATGTCATCATAATGAGAATGTCTGCATTACTCACTAAGTAACAAACTAATTGAAATTCTTCTTAAGCGAAAATCATTTTTATATCCGCAGAAGTTCTGGTAAAGGAAACAGATAACGACATACTTATATGAATGACTACTTGCTATAATATAATGTCATAGACATCTATGTCTATAGGTATATTTATTGTTCACGAAAATACCTATGGAATGTTCTTGCAATTTGATAAAACGCATTTTTTATAAATTGAAGGAATAAGAAAATTTTTTAAACCACCTGCCAAAACCTTATGAACGACAATGAACAAAGACTCTAGAATTAAAATTAGAAAATAAAACCCGGCTGGAGCCGAATCTCGCATACCCATCAACATTAAAATCTTTGACGCCCCATGCTTTCATTTATTAATATAAACCGCACAGTCACACAGACGCCTTCAAGACAGCCGAGGGGAAGGAAAGGTTAATGATACGAGGCTTCTCCTCGTACTTGCCGAAAACCATAACACAGATGACGATGTTAAAGGGCACAGGATTATAGCGAAGGTAACATAAAGACGGCTTGCTCGAAATAGGGCTTCCGAGCGGAGCGAAATTGAGAGGGTACGCGTACCATATAAAGACGATTATAAATGAAGCAATGGAAGCTAACCAAAAAAAAAGTTAGGCTAAACATGAACTCATATGTAACGTAACCGATGCCCTGTACAAATTTGGGCAGAAAGCGGCAGCAATTTTAGCAAAAATGTTACCCATCGAGCTACTGCTGAAGGCGCAGTTATATATCCATAGACCTAAGACTGGTGTTCACTACAGTTTCTGCCTGGGAGCAGCACCGGGACAATCATTCGAAAGGAAGGTGGACGTACACTCTCATCCCAATAGGTAGAACAATGAGCGGGCGCTTTCAACTTGCGAGCACATAGCGGCCTTTGCCAAGGCATAAACGAAGCTGCGCAATACACTGTTTTCATCTGCCCGGCCTAGGCATGTTCGAGAAACACCCTCTGTAGATCTCTGGGAGTAGAAATGCGCCGGATTCGTGCAAGACGCGCTTCGACATAGAGCCATAAGAAGCGACATCCGAAACCCCTAATTTCGGACAAGGACAAGGGAGGTAGGATGAATGATAATGAGGCTCAAGAATCCATTAGAGTCTATCTTGAGGTAATGAGGACAAGGACGAGGGAGGTAGAATGAATGATAATGAGGCTCAAGAATCCATTAGAGTCTATCTTGAGGTAATGCGGAAGCGGTTTCGCTTTGGCGATGATCCGAGCGCATGATCACTAGTTGGCAGCGTACATTCGCTGCGCCCATAAAACAAAAAAAAAACACACACACACACACACACCCAGGCGGACAGACATGGCTTGATCCTTTCAGAATTTCATGCGACCACGAATACATATAGGATCTCTAAAGCTTCCTTTTGGGTATTTCGAACGTTATAACAAAATGAGTATATCCCAACCCAAAGGGGTCTCTAATGAAATGCAAAGAAAGTGATCCCATCTGAAAATGCAGGCAATCTTCATATTATTACAATATTTATTCAGTTACTATTTACAATAATGTGCATAATATATCCGAAGAGGATCTCTAAGAAAAAAACGTAGTTCAGTCAAGCATTGCTGAGTCAAAAAATTTATATAAATCAAACACAATGTTAAGTCGAAAAAATAGTAAGAGAGTGATTTTTTTGCATTTTTTCAACAAAGTTTATATCGCTTATCGGAGTAACGAGCACAAAGCTCGGAAAGGAAAGATACTCTCAGTTATAGTGCATTGTAGATGCTTCCTTTGACTTTTGGCTTTGGACCATTTTCGATGAATATTAAAGAATAAATAAAGATTTTTGAGGTTATAATGATTTTGAGGTTATAAATAAAAATTTTTGAGGTTATAAACAAATTTATCTTATCCCGCGGGCACAATAGCATGTCTTCACGTGAAAATCATGCAAATTTATGAATAACTGTATTAAACAAAGTTGCTTAGGGTATTTACTTGTGATAAGTTGAAATATATCCTAGCATCTGATAGTAATTCAACGGGAAAAATACAAAGTTCTTAAGAAATTTCTCTATCTTTCTCTATCGTAATTATCAACTCAATGGATGGAAAAAGAAATCAAATAAAATCTTATTTTACTAAAATGGAAGCCATTATGCTATTAGCTCTTAGCTATGATTTACTCGAGAGCATAAAATATATTATTGCCTTTTAACGGCAGATATTATCATGGAAAAATTAATGAGGATATGAACATAGTTTCATGACATACATAAAACATGATGTTTTTTAATTATTGAAAACTTTGTTTTAAAAAAAAATAAAATAATTTCTCTTACAATTTTTAACAAAAGAAAAGTTTTCCTTTAAAAAACAACTATAAACTGAAGCGACAGGAACAAGTGACATATGAGAAATTTCATTATATAACATCCATCGAATAAATATGGAGTAGCTTTTCTTGTTGTTGTTATTTTTGATTTATATTTTCCTTTTGCCTATTTGCACAATATGTCAAATCATCACAACAGCGGTCTTGTTTGCCTAAGGCTGCCTTACTAAATACACATTTGCGCTCAACTTTCTCTTTTGAATATTTAAATATTTGATTCTTCGCCATCGTCTTAAGTAGAAATTAATAAAGAGAAAAAATAATATATACGGATAAGGTCGACCATTAAAAACACTACAACGCTTCGCTTAGCACTATTCCTCAATACACACAAAAATTTTACATCGCTTCGTCATGTCGCGACATGCTTTGCGCGGGCGAGGGCCGAACATATCTATACTGCTCAGCTGAGTCTAAATTTAGTAAAGGTAATTTTTTTTTGCCTGCTATTATAGTTTCATCATTTATCTTGCCATTTAACCATCTAACCTAACCTATGCATGGGTTGAGATTAAAAAAATAGATCTATTTGGTCCAAATATGATACAAGTAATTTTCATTTCAAAATATTAAAAATTTGACTCTTTTTCATTTCATTCATAATTCATATCAATGATAATATGGCAGTGGGGTAAAAAAATTGCTTTATCCGATTTGAAAAGTTTGTAAAAATTTTCAACAAATTTTGTTCTTGAGCCAAAACGCTTCAGCAAAGTAAACTTTGTTCAAATATTTCAAAAAGTCAGATCTGCTTATTAAATACACAGAGAGACATGAACTGAATAAACGGACAGATGGACAGAAAAGTTTTCATCGATTCCCCGCGGAAATAATTTTTTATCGATTTGTAAGAATGAAGTTAACTAGCATTATAACTGTATTGGATAGTAATGTAACTTCTCCCTATGAAATTGATATGCGACTTTACATTCTACGTTAACCTCTTTGAACTGCGGACATTGGTGGCTTTTTTTTGTTCTTAAGTTTTGCATAAGCAGGGTTTAGTGGAAGATTACTTTTCCGGTTTAATTTGCAAGAAAATGTTACTTAACGAGATAACTGGTAATGGCAACGGGACTCTGCAAGAAGTGGCAAAAAATCGCCAAGCAGACCGGACGCGAATCATGAACGTTAAGGGCATCGCACTTGGGCCATCGGATGATCATAGTTTCTCTTAAGTTTCGGAGCCAAGTCATTGTTCGCGATCTCAAATCTCAAAGGTGGTGGAGTTTGCTTTGCGCGCAGCTATTGTCGGTGCTCAAGCCGGAGACTTACTTACCGATTGAACATGCATCCATTAGGCTGTCATTGCCTCACTCCCTATCTTTTTCCCTTTCCTCACTTTTTTCTGTCCGTCAGCATTCTACACAAATACTCTGGCTGATTGGTCCTTATCTCCGAAACCCGCTCGTCTTTTAGCCATGCGTATTCATATTGAATTAGAAAAATTTCTCAAAACATTATTATTACAATTTTTTTAAATCAACTGCATAATATCTTGAACGTATATTGTCGATTCCATTTTAAAAAAGAAGATAAGAGATCTTGTGATATTCTTTTTTTATTAGGCGAAATGATCAAAGGTGATATTAAAATACGTTTGTGAAGGAGGGCTGAAGTTATGAATTGTCTAAATGTAGCCCGGGTCCCATACGCTCGCATATGCTTCAGCAATACCTAAGACCTGACACATTCTAGATGAAATCCATTAATTTCTATAGATTTTTATACTCTACACCGCACGTAACGCAAGGGTACATCAAGTTTGTGCATATGTATGTAACACTCGGAGGCTTTGAGTAGACTCATCTTTTCTAATACTCGTCGATTTAAAATCATTTTCTGAATCAATCTAAGTTTGTCTGTCCCTCTGTCCGTCTCATATAACGCCCTTATACTTTGGATCAGATGGGGACATTTTTTGAACACCTTGCCATATAACCGTTCCTATGAAGATTTGATCTTTGTATGGTAAAAAGGCTTAAGTTTCACTACTTCTTGATGTAAATTCATTCAAAATAATGATTTGAACGTTATAAGGATTCGAATGAAAAATAAGCCTTTATGTACGTCAAAAAGTTCTGTTTTTTAATTTTTTATAATGTTAACTGATCCTTAGAATATTGACCACAGAGAATTTGAATCACATAGATATAGTTTTTTAGATCGCACCACATACACGGGCGACAAAGAGTATTATGTGGCGGTGGAAAAGTAAATTTGACGTTTGGTGTTTGACGTTTCGATGCCAACGATTCAATATGAAGACTTTCATGAAAATTACGCATTTAAATAAGAATATATAATGTATTATGTAATTTTTGGTGTATTAGCAAGGAAATGTGCGAATAATTGTGTTAGGCGTAATGACGTAGCGTATCTAATAGTCGGCCTTGCAATTATTCTTTCTTCTTAAAAAATCTTCAATTTTGTACAAAAAGAAAACGAAAAACACTTTCACATTCACACCCGCATTCTCCATATGTCTGAAGACGAACGGCGTCTGGCAATAGTCGGCTATTTATTAATTCAATCCACACACAAGAAGTGTAAAGTTTACTCTACGAGTTACCAACTTGGATCTCTCATCCTTTAGCCTCTTTTCCATTCAAAGAAAACTTTTGTTAACTAAGAACACACATCCGTATATGCACGCATACACATATATGTGTATAACTTTTACCTTTTTTGACAACACTTGAAAGCGCTTTGATTAGATTCGAATTCAACAACAATCAACTTTCACGCATAGGCGCTTTCATGATTCATCTGTATCTGTGTCTGTGTATCAAAGTCACGCGACAATTATCTTATTGGAAAATTTTGCTTTCAAGGTCCAAGTTGCAGATTTACTCTTTCATTCATGCGTATATAAGATCGGTGATAGTTAGGGAGAGAGGAGTAGGCCGATCGAGCATTCACTGTCACTGCAGCAATTAAAGTACAGTTAACCGCGCTACTATCAATGAAACATTTCTATGCCGTGTATGTGTGATGTGTGATGTGTTTACGGACACTCATGCAGTGATCTGTTAAACTCTTGTGGTATACTCTTGCTCTTACTGTTTACAGATTATCTGCAATTATATCAAGTGATTATATTCAAATCTGCTAAATGGCGAAAAAGCAGATGTTTTTTGGATACTTTCATAGATTGTCTTTTATGATCATTGTGTGGATGCTCTTGAGATCAAATAAAAATGTAACGATTGTTAGCGCATCTACGACACGAAATGGAAATGCTTTGCAATTATCGTCTGGAGAGGAGGTCTGGTATTGAATATTAAGTATCGATATTTAAAAATAAAAATATTTTCAAAATTACTGCAGATGTTTGACACGAGCATTAAGAATACTCCTAAAGTTGATCAAGCTCAAGGCGATGGAAAAAATGTTAATAATGAGTTAGATGAATCTCGGAAAGAATTTATTGATGGGTAAAATTTTAAACTTAAATGATTAAATATATATATTCAAAATTTGTATTTAACAGGTACAGCTACAGTTGTCTTAATAAAGTTAAACGTGCTCCTAATGGTTTCATAGGTATGCGGGGAAAAAAATTTATCTCAAAACATGACGAAGAGAATACAAATGCTTATGAATATCTTCAAATGCGAAATGATCAACGGTATAAAAAGGCGCCTACAGCTTTTTATGGCGTAAGGGGTAAAAAAATCGCTGATGACTTGAAGCGTTGGCAAGATTTAATGCAAAAAATCGAGACTGAGCAAGTGCAAGAAATCCTTTTAAAAGAATTTATCGAACATTTAATGAGAATCGGTGAGACGAATAATGAGTTAATAATCAAACGAGCACCGAATGGCTTCACAGGCGTAAGAGGTAAACGACCGGACTATCAAAGAAGTCAACAATCAAAGCAAGAAAATGATGCTGTTAAGCCTTTTACCGGCATCGATAATAATAATGGTTTGTCGGTGATTAGAGGAAAAAGATCCTTTCTAATGCATAATTTTAGTAAACGTTCACTTAGGCCGTCAATACGTCAGGTAATTAATTATTTGACTAACTAATTCTCTATCTCTCTTTCTCGCTGATATCTAAAATTTTAGCGAAATTTCTTCGATTTTTGGAAAAAGTCACCATACGGTGATAGTAGACGTCAGCGATTCGTAGATTTTGGTAATAAATTCGTAGCAGTTCGTGGTAAAAAGAGTTCCTATCCTAATCTTAATGGCGAGCCGACCAAAGAAACAAATACTTTTTTAAATAATCATCTTAATAAGAGTTCATACTGGTTGCCTAACATGGGCGAAAGCATTGGAAAATCTATACCAAATACTTTAATAGACACGAATAAAAATATGGTCGACTTACTGAGGGTAAGTACAAAAAAAAAAAAAAAAAAAAAAAGGGGAGACATACAAGTCCTTTACATTTATATATATAGATTTTTCTAACGAGCAAACAAACAAAGTAGTGTAAACATATTCATAATGTAAGCAACATAAATACGATACATACGATGTATGTATATATATATATTTAGTTTGAAGCGTTGTTAAAGAAAGTGGTGCTTAACCTTTTTCACACATAGCAGCGCCATCAAGATGCTATGTTTTCATACTCAAATGCATACATATGTATGTCTAATGTGATAGATATATGTATATATGTATGTATTTATATGTAAATCTGCTTTTGTTAAAAATCTTTTCTCTAATTGTTTACATATTAAAGTTGAAAAATCTACAAAGGCAGAAACTGTTTAATATATAAATCCGATTTTTACACTTTCCAGGCTTAAACTATGCAGCTAATTAAATCGATCGCACAAACTTGGTATAATTAATTTGATGTCAATAAATAATTTTTTTTTTTTTTTAATATTAAATTATTTTCAGATTTTATTTATATTAAATTTTTTTTTTTATTTATTTATTTATTTATTTATTTATTTTTTTTTTTTTTCTTTAATAACAACGTTCGACGCAATGGAGGATCAATTTTATTGAGAAAGTTTCTTATACGATTCAAAATAATTAATTTAATGCAATTTTTATATTATCTTTTATAAATACATTTAACTTTTAATATTAATCGTCAATAATGAAATTACATGTTAATTGTAAACAAATTCAATAAAAAAATATATATTTATGTGTAAATTAAATTAAAAACTTGTAAATTGAAATTCTATTCGAAATAAATAATAAATATATACAAAATCTAGACATAAGTCTTTTTATTAAGGAACGCAATGAATATTTGAAAAATTTTTACGAAATATTACTCAGAACTGAAATACTATCTAAGATTAAGGGAAGTCCACATTTCGAACCATCTGAGAGTAATTAAATGACCGATCTTCAATTTGTTTACAGTTGAGAAAGAATAGAAACAACGCAAGTTGCAACTGTATTGCTATGGCTTTCTCTCCGTCTTCCATATACTGCTTTCACACGCAAGAAGCAAGGAGTATACAAAATTAGTTATCTATTTTAAATTCAAGTATTTACCACTGCCTACTACTTACCTTTGGGTAAAAAAGTACCATATGTTGAGGAGGGAGAGAGCACTTCGTTGCTTTCAATAAGAATTTCCTCCGAAATTCTTTTATGGGAAATATAATTTCATTTCACCTAACAAATGGCAGTTATATGGAAAGTGGTCGAAAACCCGGACCGGATCCGAACCGTTTTTTGCAACACTTCCCTTCGAGCCAAACCACGTCAGTGTACGTAGGCAATTTCATCAAAAAACGCAAAACTTATAGCCTGTAGGTAAGTAACTACAAGAAAAGAAGACGGACAGACAGACAGACAAGCTTAAATAGATTCAGAAAATGATAGTGAATCGTTCGGTATAATAAAAGGTGGATACATCTCAAGTCCTGGTGGGTGTTGAATACATTCTGGCACCGGAAGTCTTAAAAAAAGAGAGAAAAATTAAATTTCCATACTCTATAATATTGCGATGTATTTCTTTCTCATGTTAGTATCCCATTCTTGCTGAAAAGCTGCGGAGGTTTTTCTTGTCTAACTATTGAAGTTTATAAATAGTGAACATAAAGCAGGAATGCTCTCCTTGCGCTGCGCTATAAACATGTACTTCCAGTTTGATTTAGGGCATACACTCGCGTGCAAGCAAGTCTACTTTGAAGACAACTTTCAGTTTTACGGTGAGGGCAATATTTGCCATTACGGAGGGAGGGAATTTGATCAAGGAGATCATGGCTACATCCACGACGTAGAGTCTCTAAAGCTTCTATATGCGTATAGCGAACGTTTTGACAAACTTAATATTTTTCCAATCTTCGGTGGCGGATATAAAAATCGAATATACCGTATGTGGCCATTTTTAGCAAACTAATTTTCTATTTCTTCCTGCTGCAGATTGCAAATAGTATCTGAAGAAATGATTTCATTGTAATTAGATTTATTTTACATATTATCCTTCGGACATCGTTGAGAGAGACAAACGTATATATTCAATGAATGCCTGTAAATGAATCTTTTTCACATTTGTGATAATATTACGTTGAAGTTGTATCGGATCCTGAACAACTAGTGGTGTCCTTAAATTAATCATACGATCTGAGCGAGCAATTTTCACATAACAGTGATACCTACAAAATATAATGAAATTTTCATTTAATTATGATCGTATGATTCAATGTATTCCACCTGGTTGGCATTTCCTTTTCCAAATCCTCAATTTTTACGAGCTTTCCCAGGTACGGGCAAACAGCATATGCTTCAAAATCGAATTGCGAGTAAAATTCGAAGAAAAGCCTTAAATACATTTGAATGCTCGTCGCTGTTACGGACACCTTATCCTTATTTACATCACTTAGAGCGCAAAAACCGAACGTTGCCAACCAAGCTGTTAAAATATTTAATTATAAGCGTAAGCGTAAACCATTCAATGTTTTCATTTAGTTTCACTTACGACCGATGAATATAGCTTTCTTCAAGTCAATACTTTTCTGAAGGAATTCGACAGAGGGCAAAATTTCTTTAATTTGTAGAAAGTAAGTAACCATTAACACCATACTATAAGTGGGATAACAAGGCGTTAAACGAGCACATCGCCACCAGTTTTTTAAAAAAAGACAAATGTGTCTTGTTAAAATTTATTGGCAAATGATTCCCTTTTCATTCTGAAAGTAATGAAAATTAATTTTACTCACCAATCGGTTGTATGTCAAAGAAATGCTCTATTAGTTTAGTATTTATAACCGCCAAGCTGTTCGAGAAACTGATTTCGCATTTAATACGTGCAGAAAAGTTATACGCTTTTATTACAGGCACACGAGCTCGCTCAACTTTTCCCTCTATTTTCCATATATACGGAACCATCCTCATAGCCTTGCTTACTTTTTTAAATTTATTCATAATATACGGTGAAGGTTGATTCTCGAAGACTTCGAATGTATCGCCGATATCGAGGAAAATATCGAAATTGGAATCCCGTTCGCCTATACCCGTAATCCGCGACCCAATTCGATAAACCCGCAATGTTTGTTTGGGAAACAACGGTTTCACGAGATCAAATAATTGGCTCTCAATAACCTCATACTCGGGTATTGATTTTAATTCATCGGCTATTAGCAATTGATCCGCAATGAATTTGATCAGATCTTTATTTAGCAAGTCTTCAATGTCTGAAAATCAAAAACAAAACAAAAAATTATATTTTTTTAAACTTTGTATATGTATTGAAATGAATGAAAATTCTATATACTTAACGATGGATGATTTGATAACTGCTGTATCTGATCTTGACGTGCAACATGTTTAGTGGTTTCCTTACTGCACTTTGCCAAATCATAATCTTCCAAAATAAAAAGAAATATTTTAATACTTTCTACATTTGAATGGACGCAAATGTCAAATACTTGTGGGAGACATGATTGGACTTTCTGATTGAATTTCGCATTTTGATCCCATCTTCTTAATGTGGCCTGGACTTGTAACGTGTTCAGCTGCTCGTTCAGTAGACTGTCTAAAATCGATCTTGCAACGGGAACAGCGATAATTTCGCTCAATTCCGACCATTTCCGCGCGCCACGCTAATCGGGATTTTTCTGTGTCGACAATTTCTTCATTGTTTCGGTCCAAGAACTTTTCAATAACAGTGATAATACCATACAAAGCATGGATAAGGTGTTTATCTATATATTTATGATGTAAACTCAAGCGCCTGAACTTTTTCATAAACAAGTGGGCCTCCAATGTCATGGGATTTAACTGTACTTATTTAAAGAAGAAATTAAAAAAAAACAAAAAAATTGAAATAAAATGCTTTGTATTAAATAAAAATTTAAGTTGGAGTAACTAGCCAAACAAAAGATTTCATTGTCATTTTATTCATATAAAAACATTAACAATAAAAAAAATAGGCAAATTCGATAAATAATTAAAGGCAAACGTAATCATAACTGAGTAC